TTGTGGTGAGACTTTTAAGATCTACTCTCTTAGCGACTTTCAAATATGCAATACAGTATTATTAACTATAGTCACCATGCTGTGCATTACATCCCCATGAGTTATTTATTTGGGGACTGGATGTTTGTACCTTTTGACCCCTTCACCTGTCCCCTGCCTACTCCTGCCAGAGGAGGATGTTGAGCATCTTTTCACGTACCTGCTGGCTATCTGTATGTCTTCTTTGGAAAAATGTCTGTTCAGATCTTCTGCCCATTTCTCAATCAGATTGTTTGTTTTTTTGCTATTGAGTTGTGTGAGTTGTTTGTATATTTTGGATATTAACCCCTTGTCAGATATATGATTTGCAAATATTTTCTCCCATTCAGTAGGTTGCCTTTTCACTTTGTTGATGGTTTCCTTTGCTGTGCATAAGCTTTTTAGTTTGATGTAGTTCCACTTGTTTGTTTTTGCTTTTGTTGCTTCAGGCATCTATGTTCCTAACCACTGTGTTATGCGGTCTCTCCTCAAGGGAGTAAATCAAGAATGAAGAGAATATACAATATTAACCTGGAAGAGGGAAAGGGAGTGATATTAAAGAGTGATCTCAAGTTTAGTGGATTGCATATCCTCTTTCTTGCTTTACTTCCTTATTTGGGTAGAGCACATTACTTCAGCAGCTGCCTGAGAAATGGTGCATAAGATGTAAACTTTTGAGACTTTGCATATCTGAAAGTCTTCCCTCACTCTTACTTATGGAATTCTAGTTTGGAAATAATTTCCCCTCATAATTTTGAAGGCACTGCTCCTTTTTCTTTAGGTTTCTAACATTGCTGTTGAAAAATCTGCTGGCATTTTGATTCTTAATCTTTCAATGTGCGATTTGTTTTTCATTCTATGAAGTCTTTAGGATGTCCCTCTGTTCTCATCTTTCTTTCTTTTTCTTTTCTTTTTGAAGATTGGCCCTAAGCTAACATCTGTTGCCAATGTTCCTCTTTTTTTTCCTCCCCAAAGTCTGCTACCTAGTTGTATATCCTAGTTGTAGGTCATTCTAGTTCTTCTATGTGGGATGCCATCTCAGCATGGCTTGATGAGCGGTGCATAGGTCCCCACCCAAGATCTGAACTGGCAAACCCCAGGCCGCTGAAGTGGAGCATGTGAACTTAACCATTTGGCCATGGAGCCAGCCCCTGTCCTCATTTTTCTTAATTTTACAGTTTTATATGTTTGGGGGTGTTTCATTATCTTCTTTTGTGTTGACTACTTGTTGGACCTTAATTATTCCTTTGAAGATCTCCTCTCCTGCTTTGGTATTTTTTCTGGATACCCTATTTTTCAGCTATTAGAACTTCTAGACTTTTCCTCTAATTTTCTTATATTATCTTTTCCATTTTCCCTTTTATTTTGTTTTGCTCTACTTTCTCGAAGATTTTCTAAGCTTTCCTTGTCAAACCTCCCCTTGAACTTTTCATTTCCACTGTTATTATTTCAATTTCTAGAAGCTCTTTTTTGTTTTTGGACTATATCTTATTTAACATCCTAGTATTCTTTTATGGGTGCAATATTTTACCTCTTTGAGGACATTACTGATAGTGTTTTAAAGTTTTCTTTTACCTGCATAATCTCTGTTTCTTCAAAGTTATGTTTTGTATCAGAGGATTTCCTCATAAATCTGATGACCCTTTGCTATCCATGTATATGTATATTATACCTATGTAAAATATGCATATTAGAGTGGAGCACACTGAAAAGTTAGTTGGAAACTCTGCAAGGGTAGGTGGGGTTTTTACTGGGCTACAATGTGTAAGGTGATTTGCCTGGGCTGTTTCATAGGGCATTCCCCCATGTCAGAATTTTTTATTTTTTTCTCCCCTTTTATACTGATCAAATTCCCCAGGAACAATCTTATCCTTGTAGTATTTAAGCCTGGCTTCCAGGTTTAGCAGAGAACGAGGGTGTGAGTTTCATCATACAGTTTCATCATTCACATAATGCCCTTCTTTTATATATAGAACTGCTGATCTCATCTGTACCTGTTGTCCTCTAGTCATACTCTCTCCAGATAATAAGCCTTCAATCTTCCTCTATAGTGGGGGAGAGATAGGTTTCTTGGTACTGGAAGGAAACAGTCTTTTTTTTTTTCTTCCTGAGGAAGATTAGTCCTAAGCTAACATCTGTTGCCAGTCTTCCTCCTTTTTTGCCTCAGGAAGATTAGCCCTGAGCTAACATATGTGCCAATCTTCCTCGACTTTATATGTGGGTTGCTGCCACAGCATGGCTGACAAGTGATGTAGGTCTGCACCAGGGATCCAAATCTGTGAACCTGGGCTGCAAAAGTGGAGTGTGCTGAACTTAACCACTAAGCCATGGGGCTGGCCCCAGGAGGGCGTCTTAAGTGCATGTCTTTAGTGCTTTATAAATTGATATTCAACCAACTCTGTTTTCACCTCCTTCCCCAACAGAAGATATTGAGGCCACCTAAGCCTTCGAGGACTTATTTGGTGCATATCAGGTTGCTTCTTAGCTTTTCCCACTGTCAATTTAGGATCCAGCCCTCTTGGATTCACAAAAGAAATGATCACCTATCCATCTGCTTCCTGCTTGCAAAGTTTTATTGTTGTTGCCTACTACCCTATTATCTTCATTCTTGTCAGTTTTTGCTTCTTTTTAAAGTTCCTTTTCTGTTATCTTATTAGGATTTCTGGAAGAAGTGGACATAAATACCTGTGTTCAAACTGTCACCTTAAACTGGAAGTCAAAATAACCTGTTCACTTGTCTTCATACACATACTTTTGCCACCCTCTAATCCATTCTCCACACCTCAGCTGGAGTAATCTTTTGAAATGCAAGTCTAATATGTCACCTCTCTGCTTAAAATAGTTCATTGGTTTGACAGTGGAAAGTTCCAGGTCTTTAACATGAACTGTAACCCCCAGCAGGGTCTGACTTCTTCCTGCAGCCTCTCATTGTCCTGTGCACTCTGCCCACACTGGTCTTCTTTCAGTTCTCTGAATGGTCCTAAGCCTGTGCACTTCTCTGCCTGGACCACCTGCCCTTCCTCCCCCTTCTCAGCAATTTCTCTTTACCTTGTTAGCTCCTCCTTCCTTCCAGTTCATCCATCACTTCTTTAGGGAACTCCCCCAGCCTTTCGTGTCCAGGCCAGGCCCTCCTATGAAATATTCTCACAGGACCATGTATTTCCCTTTGTCTTATCCCTGTTGTAAATTTACATTTAGTTGAATAATTCTTTCAGTAGTTTTTCTCTCCTTTTCTGGAATTCAAGCTTCATGAGGTCAAGGATTATGTCCATTTTTGTTCACCGTTGTCTCCTTTGCACCTGAGTCATGCATAATACATTGTAAGCATTTAATACATGTTTGTTGCAATGGAAAAGAATAAATCCAAACCTGCTTCATTCCTTCATTCTCTAATTTAGTGTCATCTTCCAAACTCTAAGGGGAGCTCAATGCTGTCTCCCCTCATTTCATCCCTGGGAAGGGGACAGAGGACAATGTGAGTTAAGCCTGGACCAGAGGCCTCTGGCCATAGTCCTAAGGGACAGAATTTTTGTGTGTCCACATGGCAAGGTGTCAAGCAGACACCATGTCTGCAGTACCATGCACCAGTTACCAATTCCAGAGGAGGACTCCAAACACTTCTGCGTATTGCATCTTGGTATCAGAGTCACCAAGAAAAAATGCAGTCAAGCATTGGATGGGACAATGCTTTACTTACAAAGAGAAGAGACAGAGCAGGATCAGCTTCAATAGTGGATGTCAGTCCCCCGTGCTCAGTGGGTCTCTCCTGGCTGCTGACACAAGGCAATTGGCATATGTGCCACACCTCTCTCATGTTGCAGTGGAAAGAACCCTGTCCCCTCTCCTCAGGGGACAAATATAACAGTGGGGTTGGCCAAGTGCCATATGAGGCACGTGCTTTAAACAGAGACAAAAGAGTACTCACTGAGCCTGAAACAAGAAAAGATATTCTCACACATGGTGATAAACCAGGCACAGTCTGTGTGGGCCCTTTAACTCCAGGTAAGGAAGCATTCCAGACCCAAAGCCCATTCTTATGCAGCTGAGTGGGGGCTGAAAGACTGCTTGTATGAGACTGACTTTTCCAACACAAGGTCTTCTGGATTCTCTTTTTTTGTTTTTCTCCTTATATTCTCTCTTTGGAATTTCTCTTTAGATTCTTAGGTTTTCCTCTTGCTTCTTCCTTTTGCTTAATGTACCTGGTGCTGGATGGAACCCAGGGAAAGGAAGCCTATGCAGCGGGAGACATTCTGTCTCACATGTGGTCCTGGCTCTTCACTAGAAATGGGTTCTACACTGAGATTTAGGGGCCAAAACTTCATCAGTAAAACACAAGATTTTATCCACTACCCTTTCTGCATGCCTCCTTTGTTAACCTATAGCATCAATAGAATGTTCAGGATCTCAGTCTCCTCCATTTTTCCACCATAGGGACAGGACTCCCCCATTTATCTCAGGCAAGCAGTTATCCAAGTTGGAAAGCTGGGGGTCCTGTTCCATTCACATTTACCACACATCATTCAGTTGTTGACTCTGTTAAATCTCTTGAATCTGACTTCTGTCACACACAACTAAACAACCTCTTTTATTTAATCAGCAGTGTTCAAACCCAGCCCTGGTGGTCTAGTGGTTAAGATTCAGTGCTCTCACTGCTGCAGCCCCAGGTTCGTTTTTTGGTTAGAGAACCACACCACCTGTCTGTCAGTTGTATGGTCATACTGTTGTGGCTGCATGTTGCTGTGATACTGAAAGCTATGCCGCTGGTATTTCAAATACCGGCAGGGTCACCCATGGTGCACTGGTTTCAGTGGAGCTTCCAGACTAAGACAGACTAGGAACAAGGACCTGGTCACCCACTTCCAAAAAAAATTGACTATGAAAACCCTATGAATAGCAGGGGAGGATTGTCTGATATAGTGCCGGAAGGTGAGAGGATGGTGCAAAAAGACCCAGCAGGGTTCCGCTCTGCTGTACATGGGGTTGCTAGGAGTCAGAATTGACTCCACAGCGCTAACAACAGTGTCCAAAAAGTGTTCCAGTGATCCCTAGGGGTTTTGTAGATGTGCCTCTGAGGACCACTGTAGGGGACAAAAGGGAAAGGAGCATGCAGGCCACCAAGCAACATGTAAGATTTCATGTTATATGTCTTTCTTGGTGCTTTACTATGTGCTCTTGATGTTCATTTTATCTGCATAACAACCCTACTGTTATGTTTATTTGATAGATGAAGAAATTGAGGCACAGAGAGGTTCAGCAAGTAAAGTGATACAGCTAGCAAGTGGCAGAGTTAGGCTTGGAACTATGATATTCTGATTTCTGAGCTAGCCTTCTTGATTTCTAAGTTATGCTTGATTTCTGAGTTGTTGTGTGTTAGGGACTGTGCTAAGTGCTTTACAAGCATTATTTCACTTAGTCCTCATAATGGCCCTGTATGGTGGGTCCTATCTTCATTCTTCAAATGGAGAAGTCTAAGGATAAGGAATTTGTCCACAGTCATGAAGTGGCAGGGGTGGGATTTACATTTGGATCTGCCTGATCCAAGAGCCCACGGTCTTAATCCCTATGCTCTAGACGTCCTCCTGTGTGTGGGATGACCGGCTGCATGTGTGCACTGTCTCTTCTGCTATAGTGTGAACTTCTTGAGGAGACTGTGAGTTCTTCACCTTTGTCTTGCAGCAGCCTTCTCAAAGTGCTTGACACACACTCCATGCTCAATAAATACCAGCTGAATTGAATGGAAGTCAAGGTGTGCAAGAGGTTCTGGGAGTTAAGAAGGCTGAGGAACTCTGAGACCAAGTGACGAAAGGCTGTTCTTGTGGATGTTGAGCTAGGAAGGGCAGCTGAAAACTGTCTGATACCAAAATTATTCAGGAGGGTAGGTAGTGCTGTAGTTGTGGTAACACACTTGGGGAGGCTGACTACTTCCCAGGCAGAGTCACAGAATGGCCATGGCTTGGTGTGGTTACCATATTTCATGGTATAGTCTTCTGTTTTGCTGTTCCAGAAACTTAGTCTTTCCTTTGTTCTCCAGAATGGTTAGGTTTTTATGTTGACACTCTAAAGGCTCAAGAAACTATTCAATAACCAGAATACAAAGTAGTTAAGCCCACTTACCTTGACTGGAATTTTCTTTTTTTGATTGTAATGGTATGGTCATCTGAGAAATGCAGAAGGCAGACTAGAAAAGACAGGCCTTCACTATAGTGTCTTGTTTGGAGAAAATCTGCGTGGCTAGAAGGGGATGGTCATTTCAGAACAACAAAGGAGGCTGGCAGTACCTAAGTCTGCCCAAGGGAAGGAGTTTGATCTAAGCACACTTGTTCAGATGAGCCTTATTGCAAGTGCTCATTAAATGATGATAGCTGTTATTTTTGTTAAGATGGGTGAGAATGCTTCCAGGTACCTTTAACTGAGAAACACTTTTTGATCTTAGGTAAATCCCCACGTTCTGTTTCATGCTTAGCGAACAACCCTCTGATCATTTGACTTCATACAGAGAGCGTATACAGCCAGGAAAGTGCTGATCAGCCTAAGTTGATCTCAGGTTCACTTTATTAGTGTTTCTTCCTGTCAATTAATATTCCCACTATTGACATTCTGAAGTATTGCTTCTGTCTGTTTGTTTAAAGAAACTCTGCCTCCGGGGACAGAATCCTCCCACTAAGTAATACAGAGTAGGGTCTTTAGGAAGCAAACTACCAGGGTTCAATTCCTAGCTTGTACTATCTATATAACCTTGGGCAAGCTATGCAATATTTTATGCCTCAGTTTCCCTTATTTGTAAAATAGGAAAAATAATAGTACCTACTTCTAAAAGTAGTTGTAGAATAAAATGACATCATGCACAGAGCCTTGTACATAATAAACTCTCAATAAATGTTAGCTTTTAAGTTCAGTTTCCTGAACTTGCCAGGCCAGGACCAAACTTTGGACTGTGGAGAATAATCAAGGTAAATTCTACCTAGTCAATAAGCCTGGCTCCCTAAGATGACATTCTCTGCTTGTCTATGGATCACCTTGACATTTGAAACAAGGCACTAATACTCAGATATTTACATATATTAACTCATTTAACATTTCTGGCAAACCTAAGAGGTAGGTACTCTTATTATCCCCATTTTACAGAGGAGGAAACTGAGGCATAGAGAGGCTAAGTAATTTGCCTGAGTAAATGGTGGCTCTCACTCCTAGAACCATCTTTTATTCACTTATTAAATTACCTTTTTTTTCCTGACAATCATGTCATTAAATTAAAGAATGGGTATTTTGCAGTGAGAGAAGGGTTGAAAACTCATTTTTTCTCTCATCTGTAACAATGTTTTAAAGATGTAGTTCTACTTTCTTAGTGAGCTTTGCAGCCACCCATAAATGCATCATGTAGTTATAAAACATGGTGGGCTGCTTTGTTATTTGCAAATAACAAAATCAAACAAGGTTGTCCACCAGTTATTACATAGCACGCATCACAGAACATGCTATAATTGTGCTTTTTACTTCCGAATTTTCAAGATTGGTTTATCTGTTCTCATTTTTCGACAAACCAGAAGGTAGGAACAACAAATGTATAAAGGTACTTCTTCATAAAATTATTGTTTACAAAATCGACTAAGTATGCATTTATTAAGCCCCCTGGGTGTTCGCACTGCATCTGACGAACATCTAAGGTAGTAAAAACGAACATTTCTGTGGCCTTTTAGAGTTTACAAAGAGCCTTTCAGAAGATGCTTACAGCACACAGTAACTGCAGCGCTGAAAAGACAAGGAAATCGCTTTTTCCCTGCCTTTGCATCGCTTTCCTTAACTCCTGGAAATTACGAACGTTTTGTCTAGTATACTTGGGCAAGCTTCTCATTACCGCAACGGGTTTACTCTTAACTTCGTCGCGGAATCTCTTCTTTCTCTGGTGGAGCCTTTCGGGTTGGCTGGAATCTGAGCATGCGCAGAAGCTCAGCAAACCGAGGGCGGGCTGGCGCGGTGGTGGGCGCCACCTCCCCTTGACAACGGGAAGCGGGTGTGTCAGGGCGCGTGCGCAAACGTGGCCAGGGCGCCGGGGTGGTGGGTTACGCCTGGAGAGCGCATGGGCAGACAAACTGTACGTCCGTTTGTCCGGAGCGGAGGGGAGAGTGGGCGCCATCTTCTAGGCTCACGGAGGGCTCCACCTGTTCAGGGGAGGTTGCTGCGACAAGAAGTGTCCCCCACCCCCGGCGTTGTGTGTCCGAGTCAGCTGCAGTGGTGTGTGTTTACTGCCAAGTGCGAAGCAGTTACCCTTGGGGCGTCGGGGGTGAGGAGGGGCTGGCGACGGGGACGGAAGGACAGGGAAAGGCGGGGCCGGCGGCTGCGCCAGCAGCTAGCGTAGCTTCTGCCGTTAGGGCACTCTCTTTCCTTGCTCTTTCCTTTCTAAACACCGACTCTCCCGTCAGCCTCCATGTGGTGTTTTGTGTGCGCTTCCCAGTCTTCTTGAGTGAAGATCTCGAAGGATTTCATAGGTATATTTTTCTTTGCTATGTCATCGTAGTCAGTGGTGGCAGAAAAGCGCTGAAGGCCCGGCTGGTTAGGCTTGAGAGGGGCCAAAGTGTTTCAGTTAGATTTGAGGGCAGTTCCCCCTCTGACGAATTAGCGTGGAATGTGTGCCCTTGGGACGGCGTAACGGAAAGGCATGGAGGTTGGGCGGTCTAGGTTAATTTGAAGGCTGAATTTGGCTGAAGGTCTGGCGACAGCATCGGATCTCACGTAGCAACTTTGGCCTGGCGCGAAAGAAGGAAGCTCTGAGCCCTGGGAGTGTGGACAAAGGCTTTGGGCTATAGAAGCGCTGCCTTCGGATGATCCCCGTTTGAAAATGATGGATGTGATGGGAAATCCTGTGCCATGTGGATTCGTCTTCGTTTACAGTTCCTGTTGGGGACTATGGCTCTGTCTCGTCATGCCTTTGATTTTTATTTTGACCATCTACGTTTTAAAAGGATGAAAGGCAGATCATCATAAAGAATAATTGTGGACTGGGATAGATCATTTTCTGTAGGGGAAACCCATGCGTTTATAATTTGAATGTGCTTCCTCATAACATTGGGTTTTAAGAAGTAGTCGCAGTTGTATCTCCCTAACCATGTCTAGAAAATGACTTAAAATCAAATGGATCTGAGAGAGTACCTATTCAGGTTTAGCCTCCCTCGTGTTTCCTTCTCAATCTTGTTTAGAAGGTGCACATTTCATATTGTTTAGTGATAATGGTGATCAAGTGGGATGAATCGTTGGATAAAATCAGCAAAATTATTTAAAATGAGCTTATTTATTTCAGCGACTTGCCCTTAAATGTGCTTTTAAGGACCCACTTCCTTTTCATAGGTTAGAAGTTGTAACTGATCACTGTCTTTAAATCAACAGAGTCACGAAAATACTTTTGTTGCCTTGCTAGGTAGAAAAATTTTAAGTGGAGAGTACTTTTCCTGTGTTTTGATTTGTGTGTAGTGTTCTTAGAATTTGTGGGGAATTTACTTAAGGAGATAACATGGGAACCACAGGAAAAGTGCTCATTTTGAGAGCTGTTCTCTCTTGGTGATCTCCTAGGTGTGTTATTGTAATGGGAAAAATGGTACATTAACCTACTCAAGGGCAAAAAAGTTTAAGTATTAGTTATATTTAACTGGCAAATTAGAATAATTTTTTTCTATAGTCTGCTTGAATTGGAATTCATGAGATTTGAACTCATGGAATCACTTAGTTAAAATATTTTTAAGTTAGGGAGGATAAATTACTAGAAATTTTTTGACTTTGACTTATAATTATTCCTTTGAAAGGTCCCTGACTTTTTTGGTAGATATGTTTGTGTTCTCAAGGTAAATCCCTTTTCAATTTTTTAAAAAGTTTAGGAGGGACAAAATTATGTGTATCTTACACTGCTTTCTAAAATATTTTAAAAGTAGAAAAGGAACTAAGTCGATTTGCGTAGGAAGGAGTCTTGGAACTGTAGTGTGGACAGCGAGTCCAGAAGTCATTTCTAGTTTTTGGTAAAATGTTGGTGTGGATATTGGTTTGTGGAAGAAACTAAGCTTATACTCTTTTTTTTTTTTGGTACCATACAGATTTTTTTTTTAATTTTCTCTTTTTAGAGCAGTTTTTTCGGTTCAGAGCAATATTGAACAGAAGTTAGAGAGATTTGCCATATGCCCTCTGCCCTGACACATGTGCTGTGCAGATATGTTAATAGTAAACTTCATTAATATTTTTAATACCAATTTGGCATTGATAATTGAGATGTAGACTCTTCCAAATAATTTCTCACCGTTTAGCTTGTAGTTTAGGACGTTTACGGACCCTTTTTAAAGGAAAATAAACCTTGCATACCTAAAGAATATGTTTGCAGACCCCACTTGTGGAAGAGTGGTACTTAAGTGTAAGTACTAAATGAAAGCAACATTTATTTGCACACTAAAAACATACATTTACAATTATTAACTTAGCAAGTGTTAAAAACTTATTTACTAAGACTACGTTATATATTGTTAGTTTGGGTATCTCTGAAAGTATTAGATGTAAATTTCCTTAAAAAAATACTAAGTTGAGGTTTTTTTCAGTAGTTAACTCTGATAATCCCCAAACATTCCAAATTAATCTATTTTTACTATTCTACTTTGTATTTGGATTTCTTCTGTAGAATGCAGGACAGTTTTTTGAAATGGAAAAAACTTATTAGTATAATAAGATTCTTTACTTATTTGAACATTTCTAATTGGCTTCAGATGAATTTTAATAGTAATTGTTTTAGGAGTTTACGATAAGCAGTAGTAGAGATTTTTATTTTTAGGGATGTTTTAGTATTTGCCTTAATTATATTGGAGTCAGGAAGTTTGGTTCTGTGGAAGCATGAACCGTATATATAGAACTTATCATCACCATTGATTTAGGTTTAAAAATTGATTTTTGAATTTGAAACATTATTACTGTGTTCAGTTATTGTATCGTTTTGAATGGTTGCCTTATTAATTTGATTTGATCTTACATTTTGAAAGGGAGGAGAATTGCAAGAGTTGGACATAGTAATGAGCTAGGTGTTTGGTCTTTTCATGAGCGGAAGTGATAGAAAGTTTTTTGGGAATTTTTGATGTTTTTAAATTGTTATTTTACTTGTAGAACAGTTATCTTTTTTAAAAAAATGGATGTAAAATTTATATACAGTGAAATGCACAGAACTTAAGAATAGAATTCATTTAGCCTTGATAAATTTATACATTCACTTAACCAATACTCCAATCAAAATATCTAGCTTTTCCATCACCCCTTTCCTCTTGCCACTTCCAATCAAGGGCAATGGTTTAATTTTCAGAAGGTTTTTTGTTTTTTAATTAATTTGCAGATGTCTGCTTGGAATTTGTGCCTCCTTTTTGCTGAGGGATGATTAATTTTCCTTTGGAACAAAGAAGACCATTTTGTAATGCCCATAGTTGTGGTTCCTTATGTTGCTTCACTTTTAGTAGGTACTTCTGAAGTGAATATCCTAATCTGGCGTTGTTTAAGATCAATTACAGGGTCCAAGGATTAATTATATTTCATTTTCTTTCCACAGTTAAGTTGCTTTTACAGAATTAACAGGTCTTCAAGAAATTTTTAAAAAGGTAAGATATCCAGAGCTTAAGGCTTTTCACAGAGGCTTGACAAAAAAATGTAAAATAGAATAGTACATCTAGGTACACGTGGCTTCTGTACTTTATGTCTGACTAGTGATGCACTAGGGGTAGGCGATTTATTATCATGAACAGAAGTTATATACTGACCATAGATGGCTTTTCTTAATATGTACAATTCATCGTGGTTGGTAAAATTCTTTAATACACAAAGCTCTCTCCCATGTTTCACTAGAAGATATGTTTCTAAGTGAGTCTGAAAATAGTTTGGTCTTGTTGTGAAGCAGCACTTGGCAGACTTACAAAGATTTGATATTTTTGATGCTCATACTGTATAGGATAGGTGATATGAAATGTTTCTTCGAAGTAGTTGGTTTATTTGTATGTTTAGGTGGGAGAAAGTTTACTCATTTTTTTTTTAAGAATTAGAATATTTTTGTGAACTCGTATCTTGTTTTCATTTATAAATGTGGAAGAAGGTAGGAACCATATAATTATTAAGCTTAGTTTGGGATAAGGTACTTAAAAAATAAGACTTGCTATTATGTGTACCTTTTTGTCTGCAGGTCATTATTGCTGTGGTTTGAGCTCAGCATGGCTGTAGTCATCCGTTTACTGGGGCTTCCTTTTATTGCGGGGCCTGTGGATATTCGTCACTTCTTCACGGGATTGACTATTCCTGATGGAGGAGTGCATATAATTGGAGGGGAAATTGGGGAGGCTTTTATTATTTTTGCAACAGATGAAGATGCAAGACGTGCCATAAGTCGTTCAGGAGGGTTTATCAAGGATTCATCTGTAGAGCTCTTTCTTAGTAGTAAGGCAGAAATGCAGAAGACTATAGAAATGAAAAGAACTGATCGCATAGGAAGAGAGCGACCAGGATCTGGGGCATCAGGGGTTGGCAGCTTCTCTGATTTTGTTGAGGCTATTAAAGAAGAAGCAAGTAATTCTGGATATGGCTCTCCGATTAATCAAGGTGCTGGGTTTCATACTAATGGTACAGGACATGGTGATTTAAGGCCAAGAAAGACACGACCGTTGAAGGCCGAGAATCCTTACTTGTTTCTACGAGGTTTGCCTTACTTAGTAAATGAAGATGACGTACGTGTCTTTTTCTCTGGTTTGTGTGTGGATGGAGTAATTTTCTTAAAACATCATGATGGCCGAAATAATGGTGATGCCATAGTAAAATTTGCTTCATGTATTGATGCTTCAGGAGGTCTTAAATGTCATAGAAGTTTTATGGGTTCAAGATTTATAGAAGTAATGCAAGGCTCAGAACAACAGTGGATTGAGTTTGGTGGTAAAGCAGTTAAGGAGAGTGACGTTCCTATGAGAACTGAAAAACATTCTCCACCAAGAGGAATTAATGATAGACATTTTCGAAAACGATCTCATTCAAAATCTCCCAGAAGAACACGTTCTCGTTCCCCTCTTGGATTTTATGTTCACTTAAAAAATCTGTCTCTAAGTATTAACAAAAGAGATTTAAGAAATTTCTTTAGAGATACTGATCTGACTAATGAACAGATTAGGTTTTTATATAAAGATGAAAGAAGAACAAGATATGCCTTTGTGATGTTCAAGACTCTGAAAGACTATAACACTGCTCTGGGTTTACATAAGACTGTTTTACAGTATCGTCCAGTTCATATTGATCCAGTTTCTAGAAAACAAATGCTGAAGTTCATTGAATGTTATGAAAAGAAAAGACCAGTGTCAATAGAGAAAGACAGACTTGGACATGTTTCACAAAAATACTCTCAAGGAGGCTATTCTGGCCAGAAACTGTGCATATATATAAGAAATTTTCCATTTGATGTTACAAAAGTTGAAGTGCAAAAGTTCTTTGCAGACTTTTCTCTTGCTGAGGATGACATTTACTTGCTTTATGATGACAAAGGAGTTGGTCTGGGAGAAGCATTGGTGAAATTCAAATCAGAAGAACAGGCCATGAAAGCTGAACGTTTGAACCGACGAAGATTCTTGGGGACAGAGGTATTGTTAAGACTTATATCTGAGGCACAAATGCAGGAGTTTGGTGTAAATTTTTCCTTGATGTCCAGTGAGAGAATGCAAGACCATTCACAGTCATGTGAGAGAGATGATCATTCCCATTCATTTGATTCAAATGATCCACCAGTATACTTAGTTGGCCCTTCTGAAAACTTCAGGCATCAGGAAGAGGACTTGAGGCAACTGGACAATTTCAGACATCCCCAGGGGGATTTCCGACAGCCTGATAGGCACCCTCCAGAAGACTTTAGGCATTCCCCAGAGGACTTCAGGTGCTCCCCGGAAGACTTCAGGCGCCCTCGCGAGGAGCACTTCAGGCAGCCTCCTGAGGAGGACTTCAGGTGCCCTTGGGAGGAGGACTTCAGATACCCTCAGGAGGAGGACTTGAGGCACCCTAGGGAGGAGGACTGGAGGCGGCCACCTGAGGAGGATTTCAGGCGGCCTCCCAAGGAGGACTTCAGGCGACTCCCTGAGGAGGACTGGAGGCGGCCCCCAGAGGGAGACTTCAGGCAACTACCTGAGGATTGGAGGCGGCCTCCTGAGGGGGACTTCAGGCGGCTTCCCCCAGGGGAATGGAGGAGACCACCTGAGGAGGATTTCAGGTGGCCCCCTGAAGAGGATTTCAGGCGACTTCCAGAGGAAGACTTCAGGCGACCTCCTGAGGAAGACTTCAGGTATTCTCCTGAGGAGGATTTCAGGCGTTCTCCTGAGGAGGACTTCAGGCGGCCACCCCAGGAACACCTCAGGCGGCCACCCCCAGAATACCTCAAGCGGCCACCGCAGGAGCACTTCCGGCGGCCACCACAGGAGCACTTCCGGCGGCCATCCCAGGAGCACTTCAGGCGGCCACCTCAGGAGCATTTCAGGCGGCCACCCCAGGAGCACTTCAGGCGTCCCCGAGAGGAAGATTTCAGGCACCTACCGAATGAAGATTTCAGGGGCCCTCCCGATGAAGACTTTAGACACCCTCCTGATGAGGACTTCAGGAGCCCCCCGGAGGAAGATTTTAGGTGTCCTGATGAGGACTTCAGGCGGCTCCCAGAGGAAGACTTCAGGGAAGGTCCAGAGGAGGACCCTAGACTTCCTGACAATTTTAGACCTCCTGGTGACGATTTTAGGAGCCCACCTGATCATTTTAGAAGTCATCGCCCTTTTGTGAATTTTGGTCGCCCAGAGGGTGGCAAGTTTGATTTTGCAAAGCGTAATATGGGAAGTTTTCCTGAGGGGAGGTTTATGCCTGATCCAAAATTAAATTGTAGTTCAGGTAGAGTAACGCCTATTAAGATAATGAATCTTCCATTTAAAGCTAATGTTAATGAGATTCTAGACTTTTTCCATGGTTATAGAATCATTCCTGATTCAGTTTCAATACAGTATAATGAGCAAGGATTACCTACAGGGGAAGCCATTGTTGCTATGATAAACTATAATGAAGCTGTGGCTGCTATTAAAGACCTAAATGATAGGCCAGTTGGTCCACGCAAAGTTAAGTTAATTTTGCTCTAAAGAGCATTTCTAAATTCAGAGTTACCTCCCCACAGTATTGATGCAGCAAATGCAGTTATGGTTTTTTTAAAGTGTTTATTTTTAATTATCTAGTGAAAAATATTTTAATTTTGACCTGTGAATAGAACAAATGTAAATAGAGTGTGAATCTGGTTTTCTTTTGCTTGCAAATTGCCGTTCACTTTTTCTAATTTAAAATTATATATGCCTTTTTTTTTTGGGACAGTGGGAGAACTAATTCCCTGAGTGCATTAATTTTTGTTGCTGTCCTGGGTAAACCTCAAGACTTGTATAAAGTAGAGCTGTATTTGGGGAAGATAAATTTTATATTCACTTTTGTTCCCATTCTGTAGTCTACATCTTCTACTCACACTGTATAAGGAAATGGTCAGTGACTGATTGTTCAGGTTTAGCATTTTCATTGCTAACTGCCTGCAAAATTAATGCCCTCTTCTTTGTCTGAGATATTACTGTGTTAAGCCTCCCATTAATAATAAATAGTTCAAAATGGACAGACTGTGAACTTGAAGTTTACGCATGTAAAAACCTTAGGGGATTCTTAAGTTTCCATGTGCATAACTTTGGAAAGTTTTATAAAAATAAAAAAATTGCAACTGAATAGACCAACTAATTAACTTTATTTGTATTTGTATAAAAAGAAAAAAGTTTCTTTTGGGAAGGTTTTCAATAGCTACATTAAGCAATATTTCTGATAGGAGGACCAAACATTCTATAATAGTGTAGAGTGCTATGTGTAGTTTTATGGTTTCTTCAACATTTCATCAACAAAACTGATGAGATTAACTCAAAATACGTAAAAGACAAAAAATAAGAAAGTAATTATAGGTACGAGAAGACTTTCAGGCTTATGCTGGGAAGAATCTGATAAATGGATATAGTTTGTGTTTCTAGGAAGAATTTACTGGTAATTCCTATAACTTGTATTTTTTTTAGGTTCTCATTTTTTAATTTCAAAACTTTGTATAAAAATAAGACTTTTGAGAGACTGAATTTTGACTTCTCTGATAGTCAACCTTTAATGTAGACACTTTGCAAATACTGGATTTGATTTTCTGTACCCATAATAATAACAGCTAACATTTATTGGGCACTTACTATGTGCTGGGCAGTATTAGGTGCTTTACATGCGTAATCTCAATATTCCCCAAGAAGCGTAGAGTGTTCTTTACCTCTGTTTCACAAATAAGATAGTGAAGTTCAGAGTGTTTAAATAACTTGCCTTAAGCCATAGCTAGTAAATCATGGAGCCAATTTCAATGCAGACAGACCAATGACTCCAGTTTATGCTTGTAACACTTTTGCCTACTACCCTTGTTAAATGATATTTTTAATTTTAGACCCTGCTAAAAATATTTTCAAGAGTAAATATTTTCTTACCTCCATTATTGCTTTAAAAATAGCATTAAAAAGATAAAATTTAGTATGTTCATTGTTAAAAATGAAAAGTAACTTAAAATATGTTTCTATATCCAGAGTTTCTCTTAGATACTAATATTATATATTGGCTTCTAATTTAAAATTGTTCATTTTATCAAACATAATTTGACTTTGGTTGGCCTTTTATAGTTTATATAAAGTAAGTTTTTCTCAATTTTATGATTCAGAGACTTCCCACATTGAGCAAAAAAGAAGAAAATTTGAATTTATATACAGTAGTCATTTAATACTAGGATAATGTAGCAGTAGAACACTTTGTCAGTACTTACCCAATTAGTACTATAAATATTTTGGATTAATCTTAAGTGATTTAATGAAGTCCATGAGAAGCCAACTGAAGTTTCTGTGTGTGTGTTTTTTTTTTAATTACAGTGACTATTCTACTTACTAGTAGAACGAATAAGCTGGTAAATTTGGTTCAAAAAGTGCATCAGTATGGCTCTTTAAACTAGTAAACTCATAGCTAGGAGAATGATGAACTGTAATCTCTAAACCAAGCACAATGAACAAAATAGGAAGAAATGATATTTGTAATGCTCAAAGATTATATAGATGGTTCATTTGACAGCCTTCTTGAGGAACGTATGGAAGACTTAACACTTCTCAAATACATATCACTAAAAGCTAAGATGAAGCATAAAGTGAAATATTTAATGTGGAACTGCTTCTCAGACTAGGCTAGGGTGGGATGGTGGTAGTAGATAAAGAGTCCAACGATAGTGAACACACGCTTTGTAGTTTAATTGTAAAATTAATGAATTGACATAAAAAGTAACTTTTACTGCATAATCTATCAGTTTAAGCTTTTTTAAATAAAAAGTTTTTTATAGAAAGCTGGCTTATACTGGTTGAGAGCCATTTTTGTACATCTCTTCTCGACTCTCCCTTCAGTGATATGTTAATAAATTAGCCATGGAAGGAGTATTTTCACCATGGAAATTGGCAAGTCAGGGCATTTTCCACCCGAGGCCAGTTTACCAGCATGCCACCAATTTCAGACACACAGAATAGCATACTAAATCCTCATATAGTCATCACCCAGCTTCAATACCAGTTTTCCTGTTTCCTTTCTCCTACTCCCAGATACATCAGGTACACTAGGGGCATACTGGTTCTCTAGTTTAACACCCAGTGGCATTTTAATTATCTTAAAGCCAAACATGTTTATCTAGAAGGTATCTGAAAAATATAGATGTCTTGAAAGTAAACTCAATCCCATAACCAAGAGACAGGTAAGAATCGTTATATCAGGAGTGCACTTTACCACTTACTGAGAACACTCAAGACCAATGGCTCTTGGTCCATCTATCGCCTCTTAAGCAGTGACCTTGTCACCTTCATCTTTGTAGTAAGTGTTAGCTATCATTTATTGAGCTGCATTAGATACTGTATGTTTATGATCTGTAATATATGAATTAACCATATCATTTAGTTTCAATAATCTTAAACCTATTTTGGAGATAAGAAACAGAGGCCTGTAGGCTAAGTAACTGCTCAGGTTGGTGCCTGTTTTCTTTTACAAGGAAACTAAAAGATTTTACATTTTTAAAGGTGATTATATTTTAAATGGTTATATAATATGTAGTAGCCTTGATTTTTGTCTTATCAGCCCACAAATTATAAAAATATTTACCATCTAGCCCTTTAAGAAGAAGTTTGCCAACCTATGCCTTGTCTAAAAGAAACTTAATTCTACATTGATGAAAGTATTGTCATTTAGAATATTGCTTTTGTCCTTAGAATATTTCTTTGAGGTAAGCAGGGCATATATTTTATATTAGATTATTGTTAATTGCTTCATATATCAGGCACCGTTTTAACTTTACAAATGGGGCAACTGATGCTCAAGAGAAGTGAGTTGCTTTAGTAAACAGCAAGAGAAATAGTATAACCCTGCTTTTTCTCCCATCTACACCACCAAATTTAAATACTGAGAAAATAAAAATGCAATGATAGCCTCAATTTCTTAAGAATATCAGTTTATTTAGGGTTCTAAAATGTTTTGGATATTTTATTTAAAAAGTACTGAAGTAATTAGGACCATTCTTAGGAAGCAGTACTTTGTTAAGAACAGAACCATAAATAACAAAGTCAAAAAAGCTTTCTAGAAAGTCTGTCTTTTTCTGTTATGAATAACTGCTTTTTGTGGTTATCCCAAATGATTTTATAAATTTGATAATTTTTATATGCCTGACTGGGATCCATGAAATAACAAAAGTATAATTCCCCATCCAAAGAAAAGCATCAGACATACTGAAAGGCTATTAAATTGTTTTATATTTTTAGGAATAAAAGTGACTATAAACTTTCATTAATTACATGGTAGTTTGGTAAAATTTTTATAGAATTTTTAATGATTTATGGTTTTCCATGACAGTTTCTTTTCTTAGGCAACAGTCCACCAAATTACAGCTTTCCAAAAGTTGTAATACCATGGTAAAATGCTTTAGTATGACAGCAGTCTCAGGTTAAAACTGGAATCAGGCTGAATGTGACTTTCCTTTTAAAGCTAAAATTTATGCTTTACACATAGTTGTAAAATACTGATATCCTAGGGTCCCATTAATTTTAATCAAGAGTGATTACACTCTTGTTGAAAAGTAAATTTACGTATCAATGAAACTGTATGTTATTGTAAAAGTGAAAAGAAAAAGGAAAAAAGAAAATGTCTTTTTGATTAAGTCTTTATGGAATAGAATTTGTATTCAATCAGAATGACTATCTAGGACCCTTTTCTGGTGATGAAAGAATGGTATCTTAACCTAAAAGAAAAAAGTGGAATTGTTAGATCTTTTCTTTTGTCATCTGCTTACTATTACAACCTCAACTAGGTATAGTGCATTAATATGAAATAATTTTGAAATATATCATCTTTTTAAAAAAAATGGAACCTGTACAAAAAAGATCACATATGCTAGATAGGATGTTGAAATGAAAGGTGTGTAATATTTTTTAAAACCTTCATTTTGGTCAGCATAAAATTCCTTTAATTATTTTTCCATTTCCAGTAGCGTTTCATTTTGAGGTTTAAGCTATCAGGCCAGTTTTATAACTCAGTAATTCTGGATTCCAGGTTATTTGAGATGAAAATGGAAATGTGACGTTTACTTAAGGAAATTAATTTTCTTCTTCTGTAACATCTAAGTCTTCATCTTCATCATCATCATCTGCTTGTTGATCCTTTCTTAGTCGACAGGTGGACACCTGTTAAAAGTTAACACATTTTAAAAAATACTAAAATATATTTTTACATGCTTAGTATCTTTTTTAATATGCCCTTATAAAGAAATGTCCGTAAGTAATAATTTTTAGTAATGAAAATTTCCTATGAATTACTGTATTTTAAAGTTGAAAGTAGTCTCAGTTTTTTCATTCATTTATCATGTTATTTTTTGAATAAAATGTGAAATTAACCATTTGATTGTAGTTGGATACCAGTACTTCAATAACAAGTACTTTAAGAGAAAGTAGAGTCTCAGTATACTACGAATGTCAAAAATATTTTAGGCTGAACAATTCTTGGGTCAGAAAACAGGTATCTGAGAATCATCAAAGGGATGGGAAAACACAAGGATATTTGAACTAGGCAGTTGAAATTTGGCTTTAAGTCTTGACTGTTGCTACTTGGGTCATCTTGCTTCAAATCTTTCTGAGGGTGTTTCTACCTCCCAGGGGACATTTGGCAATGTTGGAGACAGTGCTGATTGTCACAACTGGGGGTGTGTGTTTGTGTTACTGGCATCTTGTGGGTAGAGGATAGGGATGTCGCTCAACATCTTTACAATGCACAGGACTCCCCTCCTCCACACAGCCTGCCCTGTACCAAATTATCTGGCTCAAAGTCAATAGTGCTGAGGTCGAGGAAACCCTGGAATAATGTATTCCAAAGTGCTACAGAGATGTTAGCTCACTTAGCTCTAAATAGTCAAACAAAACTTTGTATGTACTATAACACTAGATTTATGGAATTTATGTGCAAGGCACTTAATGGTGGAATAATAAAAATAATTTGGTTAGGGGGAGAGATGCATAAATATAAAGTAGTAAATAAATGGTTAGAGGAGAATCAAATGAAAATAGAAGGTATTGGATCAAATTTACCTAAAAGTTATATTTTGAAAATATTTTGCTCAATTTTAAATTTGGAAGGTTAAATACGAAAAAAGGCATCTCTCTAGATCAGGAGTTGGCAAGCTATGGCCCAGTTTGCCTCCTGTTTTTGTAAGTAAAGTTTTATTACAACAGCCATATTGATTTATTAATGTATTGATTATGGCTGCTCTTAGTTGGGACAGAGACCATATGGCCCACAAAACCTGTTATTCTCTTTGTGGCCTCTTAGAGAAGAAGGTTGTTGAGCCCTTCTTGTTCTAGATACTAGGTAACTGTGACTTTCTGGATATAGAAGAAATGAGAAAACTGGCTCTTTACCTAAAAGATCTCTGCTTCTGGATCTATGATAATGTTCGGCAAAAGCCCTTTTTAGGTATAATTTCCAGTAAGTCATGATAGTGAGATTTATACCCTCAGCAGTTTGACCTCAGAATCAGTGCTCTTCATACTATTTGTTGGTAGTACCATTGAGTTGATTCTGACTCCTGGCCACCCTGTGTACAGCAGAGTGGAACCCTGCCTGGTCTTTTTGCACTATCCTCTCACCTTCCGGTGCTACATCAGACAATGCTTTGCTGCTATTCAGAGGGTTTTCATAGCCAATTGTTTTGGAAGTGGGTGGCCAGGTCCTTCCTAATCTGTCTTAGTCTGGAAGCTCTGCTGAAAGCTGTCCACCCTGAGTGACCCTACTGGTATTTGAAATACCAGTTGCCATGCTTTCAGCATCCCAGCAACTCGCAGCTGCCAAAGTATGACAACGGACAGACAGGAGGTGTGGTGTTCTGACCAGGAAATGAACCTGGGCCACAGCAGTGAGAGTGCCAAATCTTAACCACTAGACCACCATGGTTGGTTTTTCATAGTTCAGAGAAATCTAGATTAGAAATCTCGATTAGCATTCTTCTGTCCTTTCCACCTCTGCTCTCAAGTATTCTGCTTTGGAGAGTAATATGTATTACAATATACGAGATTATATAAGAAATAACAGCTGCATCTACTACAGTTTTGTCATTTCACGTAAGGGTAAGAACAGGAGCTGCACCTAATAGAATTTTCTGTCATTTTATGTGAAAGACGGTAAGTTACATGAGGTCATATGACTTAAGGGAAACATTTTTAGTATTGAACAAAGGCAGCAACTCAAATTGCTTTAGATTACTGTTTCTAGCTCACCTGTCCTGTTCCAGATACACACTTAGCTGACAGTGATCTCTGAAGAGGTGACTTCGAATTTGCTCTTACGATATCTAAACGAGATGAATAATCTGGTGGATACAGAGAATTTCGGAAAACCTGTTGCAATGATAAAACAACATTATAGGTAGATGGTAAACAATGGAAATCTAGAAAGCCATGTTAAGTTCCTCTTTAGTTAAGATTTTTTTAAAGCAGCCTCCCTTCCCCGGGGCCAGAATCTCAATTATTTATTGTAAATGTAAAACAAAAATTTAAAAAATACAAAAACATTTTAAGTTGGAAAGATGAAAGCTCAAAAATCCTATTTGAATCATGTAAGATGATGGTGGGTCCTGAAGCAGTCACTTCAGAACTTTTGCTGGGGCAATGTGAAAGTTCTTACCCTCAAAGAATGCAAGCCAGTAGGGAGGTGCAAGTCATAGCTCTGATTCTTTCTGTTCTGCTTATTTTCCACTGACTGATTTAACTTCACTGCAGTACGTTTATGGTACATCACATACGAGTAAATTGGAGCGACTGTAATTTATTGATTATAGTCTCACTAGGATTTGGAATGTCATCGTCAGTTCTTTTTCCTTAAAGCAGCAGTTGCCAGTCTGACCACTTTCTTAAGCCTCCCTATCTATATCTTATCTTTTCTCCCATTTCTCTAACATACAGACCAACAGGTAAAGTTATCAGATGTTAATTTCTTCAGCTTCCCTCTTTTTCCTCAACTCTTCACCCCACTCTTTTCTTTTTTTAAAGCAAACGTCATTCTCATTCTTCCCAAGATGCATTTTTCCTTCATCCAAAACTTCAAACTAAACCAACAAACAAAAGTTTTCTTTCTCCACAGGTTCTCTCCCCCAGCAAACAAGCTCAAGATCAATGTTTTTTAAAAAAATTACTTCAAGGTTCAACTTCATTCTTTAAAAAACTCAAATATTCTACTTCTCCATTCATCTGTCAACAAACTAGTTAGGCTTTCATCACCTTCCACTGAAATTGCTCTTGCCAAAAATCACCAAAGTAATCTTTTTGTCTTTCTCTTCACTGACCTTGTCCTGAAACTTCTTTTCCACGTATGCCATCACTAAACTCTTTTCATGTGCTACGTGCCCTATTTCTTCACATCTTTTCTATTGCTTACACCTTAAATATTTTTAAAGGGTTTCCCTTAGGCCACTTTTCCTTTTTTGATACCTTCCTTTGAAAGGTCTTATCTACATGGTGTTTAATGGTTACCCTTCAACCAGTACTCCACAGACGGTCTTCTTAGAGGCATATTTATGCTTCCAACTACATTTTGTTCTCTTAGACCAGCATGTCCAACAGGACTTTCTGAGATGATGGAAATACTTGCTGCTCTGTGCTGTCCAAAGAGAACACATATAGCTACTGAGCCCTTGAAATGTGGTTCATATGACTGAGGAACTGAATTTTTATTTTCAATTTAACCTTAAAATGCCACATATGCCTAGTGGCTACTATATTGGACAGTATAGCTCTAGATTCATCTTTACAATGAAAGACATTACCATACACTTAGCAGACCAGGCTAGAAGCCTGGGCATTCTCCCTATATTTCTCACCTGAGGTACTTCTATTTTAATTTATTAACTCTACACATCTTTCCTTATACCTTACTTAGAATTGTCTTACTAAAATATGATTTCTCTATTAAAAAAGTTTGTGGCTCCTGACTACCCAGAGTCCAAATGCCTTAGGTGACATCCAAGGCTTAAGATCACCAGACCTACCCATCACTCTTCACTTCCAGCCTATATACAGAACATGTTATACTCTGTCTTTGGATGCTGATTCCCCAGCCTGGAATTCCAGCAAACTTACTCATTCAAGAGCTGAGTCAAATGCCATCTTTCTTCTGCCTTCCTGTATTCTCTAGTCAGTAGCTCCTGTTCATACCCTCAGTACAGCTGTCATCTCACTGTTGTGCAATTACCTATCTGTCCCCACAACTAGTTTTAAGTTCCTTTGGAGCAAGGAGCCCTGTTTTATCTTTGCAATTCCTCCCAGTTTAAGAGAGTCACTTGGTAAATAAATGATAACGATATGAACTTAATCCCCATGTTTTGGGGAAAAAAGGAGACTCAAAACTAGGGAATGTCTCTACACATTTCTTTAAACCTTAGAGACGTGCAGGACGCAAAAGGAATCAAGGGATGAAACTTAACATGAGAGGGCAATTCAGGCATGCTAATTAGGTTATTTAACGGGTTACTGAGGACCCAATCATATTTTGGTGCCTGACATGGAACACTGGCATCATGGTATGATATAAAAACTAGACGACTTATTCATCCACTGGTATTTTTAAGGGAGGTATTTTTGTCTTTTAACTTTTCCAGCAAAGACGAAGTTAAAAGTGGGAAATGGAAGACAACATACAACCCTTGGGTTGAAAGTCTAAACCAGTTAAATATTAAAATTTATTTCTTACTGCAAAACAACAGATTTACAGAAATATTAGTTTACTGGCAATAATGCATTTTTCAATATGGTCCAAGATCTCTTCTAGGAATGAGTCTCAAGATGTGAATATGCTCTGAAGTGATTACACAGAGGTGATCTTTTGAAGGGGAAAATGGGCCTGGCAATACTTTTTCTGTGAAGAACAAATAAGGTAAGATGGTTTGTGATAATACCTAGATGCCTAACTGCAAAAAAATAGCTGCTGCCAGAATAAGTCTCAGCTGCAAAAAATTAGCTGCTGCCAGAGTAAGTCTCAGCAGTTCTCATAAAGCACAGACTACCTAAGAATAGCAAGTTATTTCTCTACCCCTCTGCATATTTTCTCTACTTCTTTCTAAGAAACCTTGTATTTAAAGGATTCTTCCTCTTCTTGGTACCTAATTGATAAAATTTTACTCCCCTGGTCCCACAACTCTCCCCAGACTGCTCTCCTCTCCACAATTTCTATATGGCATAATAGTAACAGCTTACGTCTATAACTCATTATGCCCCAGGACCTCTCCATATCAATCTGTACCCTCCACCTCAAGTTGTTGCCAGGCATCCTCCTATTCATTCCTCAAGCTTCTAATTAAGAAATCATTCTTTTATTCTCCAGACTAGTATTTAGAATCCTGCATCACATAAACTCACAGCACACTATATTTCTTCTTTATGGGACTGGTCACATTATAAAACTTAAATAGTTCCAAAGTATATTTTTTTAATGTCTGAACTCCCTGGTAGATTTTTAAGTTTCTGCTTTGACAACTCAGACCATTTCTAACTTAGAATGCTAAATTCTCAGCACTCAAAATGGGGCCTGGCAATATAACAGGTGCTCAATAAACAGTTGATGAATGAACATTTTATGAGGTAAGTACTAGAAGTCTCTACATTTTAGAGATGAGGAGGCTCAAGTGTGAAGTTCACTGCTCAATATTGCCCCACTAGAAAGTGGGGAAGTTGATACTCAAAAACATCTACCACACAGCCCTGAGATTTTTAATTTTTTATAAGTCTCTCCTCCCACAAGCTACCTAGCTAGTTGATCAGGAGTAGTAAGAGAAGTTATAAAAGAAATGGTGTGACAAAAACGATACCTAGGATCTCTGGAATGAGAAGGAAAATCCTAGGGCCCAAAGGGCTTGAAGGAACTGTAGTATCAGTTAACAAATGTCATGTCAAGGTTATTGGAAAAAGGAGAATGAAAATACTTGTAAAAGGGACTCCAATCTTGTGGGAAAAGTGGGGGATCAATTTTGAACCTGACACTCAATGCAGGAAATGGTTCATGTCACTCGTCAAGAACCACACTTCTGGCAGTACAGTGCAGAGAGGGTAAAAACAGTGTCTGTAGTCAGACTTTTGGGTTTGGCTCTCAGCTACATTACCTACTAGCTATGGGACCCTCTAGGAAATTTCTTAACCTCACTGTGCCTCAGTTTTCTCATCCATGGAAAAGAGGACAATAAGTTCTTTTATCAAAGTTGATAGAAGGATTAAAATAATAGAATTAAAATGCATAGATCAGTAGTTGGTCCAAAGTAATCACTCTATAAACGTCTGCTATTTTTATTATTTTACAAATGACAGATAAAACCTTAATAATCTATTTTTAAAAAAAGAGGACATGGAAAGGAATGAAAATTAAGAAACATTAGCTTTAGTATTTGGAAGGAATGGACACTTAGGAAGCCATCTATTGACAGAGAGTTAATAGCAATATGATAATGTATGGATAACATGTAAAACTGAGATCAGGTTTTGGCATTGGAAAACAGATATACACATACTAAAACATGTACCTTTCTTCATTTTAGTCAAGCTATAATCTGCTTTTACTGAATTAAGTTTCCTGGAACCAGCAGAGTAGTGGGAAGGCCTAGGGGATCTCTTTATGGATAGCGAAGTTAGTAAAAAAAAAAAAAAAAAAAATTGAGGTAATTTTCAAAATTGTCAAATGGCAGACATTCCAAAATTCTATCACTTATTAATACAGAATTGTGGTTATATCTTGAGAGTCCATGGGTGTTTTCACTTCTACTGTGGAGATAATATGGACAAAGTATGTCTTGGCTCTTTGATCTATATCAGCAAAAATACTCCTGTGTCTTTTTTCCCTCTTTTGGAAGGTAAGAGGGCAGGACATTTACTCTTCAGATGTGCTTGTTGAAGCTAGGCTTTGATATTTAATTGCTCTAATGTTAGCTGGCCAATCAGATTTATTTGCATTTAACTATCAGTACAAAACAAGCCTTATATATAAACCTACATTTATTTCATAGCTTACTGACTAAGTCACACAAAACTGGTTAGAATCCTGATTTTGCTATTTCCTAGCAAGGTGGCCAGGGGCAAGTTAAGTTACTTAAAGTCTCCAAACCTGTTTCGGTAGTTCTGTACAACTACAGGAAAAATAAATAAATTGCTGTAAAATGAGAATAATAATAGCATCCACCTCACAGGATTGTTTGAGGAGTGAATTAAAAAAATGCATATAAAGCTTTGGGTACTGGGCATGGCATAAACACTCAAATGTTAGTTCAAATCAATATACGTTATTTTTAGCACACTTAAGTGATTATATCACCAGTCAAAATGATACAGTATTTCATGTAATGGCTTTAGATTATATTTTACTAGCTATTAATAAATTAACTCTTGGAACTTTACTGTGGTTAATTTGAAAAGTTAAAAATAAATAGAAAATCGTAAAAGTTCAGCTATTTGGGGCTGCACACAATAACACATCCATCGTAGTGTTCTAATTTAAGATTATTTGACCCACGAAAACTAATGCTCTTTTAAACATTTCCATATTAACAGAAAAACTGAGCTTAGACATAGTCCTACCTCTAAATCTTCTTCTTCATCAATCTTTTGTATATTTTGATAGGCAGCAGTGTAGACTTCTAAAGCTTTGCCATGAAATAACATTTCGATAGTGATAAATTCTGAAAATATAGTCTAAAAAAAATAAAGATTTGAATTTAAACAATCATAAAAATGGCTTTGTGAATTTAGTAAATTTATTCCTTACTATAGTCTTGGCTTTTTACGCAATACCGAGGTGTGTTTTCTACAGGATACATTAAGTACAAAAGACAACTGGAATAAAAATAGCTTCAAAGACCTGTAGCAGCCCTTCAAATTATACAAAGTGTTTCCTATCTCACCATTTACTTCCCTCTTATTGTTCTAGTCAGTTCTTCCATTTATAACTTGTAATTGACATTTGTGATTAAAAAAGATCTGACTTCAGCATATGTCATTATGTACTATTACCACATGCCTTATGTATTAGATAAAGCAGCTCAGTTCAGAAGCTGGTATTTTAGCAACTCCAACTGATGTTTAAAGAATAGAATGCTTTTTAGACAGGAGTTATATCCCATTGTATTTCTCACTATATGTTACTTATCTTCTCTAATCACGAAGGGATTCCTTGGTAATAATGACATTCCTACCACTGATAACAGCACCATACATTAGCATAGAGCATTCCAGTTTACAAACATATGACTTGCCCAGTGTTGTTCACAGCTAGAATGTTGAGACTTGGATCTGATTCTTCAAAGGTTATAGCTCTTGCTCACTGTACTGTGCCATTCTTGCTGGAATCAATCATTTTCTTCACAAATAAACTGTGCAGGTAAACTCTTATGAGCATGATGACAACTTATGATAAGGAAGATCATGAGCAAGGAGAATGAATGAAGATGTGCATGTTGATCTAAGCAGGGGTGAGATAATGGAAGGCAGGGAAAGGATACAGACCAGGCACGTTTTCAATAAAATAGGATCTTATCCTTTTGTTAATTATTTTGTCCCTTATCAAAAATAAAAAATTAGAGTATTAATATAGAGAGAAGTGGGGAGAATGAGAACAAGGGAGAAAATACTCAAGCACTGTCCTTAAAAGAGAAAGACAGAAGAGATGAGATAGGCTAAAAGGCAACAGTCAAATACCCATTTCCCTTCATTCCTGCTTTCCTGTGGTGACCACCCATATAGGAGCAGTCCGGCACTTTGGATGGTAGCCATACAGATATCCCTCAGTATTCCATGATTTTTTTCCCCTCCATCTCTATTCTTTCTTAAGGATTAGAAAAATATTTAAGGGAGTACTAACAGGTTTTGGATCACTACTCAATGGAAACAGAGCTGTAGTTGACAGTACCCCTTCTGGGCTGCCAAGCACATATGTTGGTTTAACTGTAAAGATGGGGCTCTGGGATAAGAGACTTATAACTATGACTAACAGTGACCCTTACTATCACTTCATATAGGTCACAGAGGGCTCTGATATACTGGCAACTGACTACACTAATAAACAGCATTATGCCAAGATACAATTTTGGATTTCACACCAAGAATCTCCAGATACCAAGGAATACCTGAGAAGTGGAATGGCTTTTGGCTAGGGCTGGGACTTACTCTCTTAACTGTCAGTCTTCCTAAGATAGTTGGCTAGCTAGAAAGGACTCAAGTGAAAATAAAGTTAGATATCTATCTTAAACCATATGCACAAACTATCAGATAAAATATTTAAATATTTTAAAAATCATACAAATATTAGAAGAAAATATAAGCAAATATTTATATAATCTTGAAGAACAAAACAACTTTTCTAAGTGTGATGCCAAGGCAGAAATGAAGACCAATAGATTTGGCAACAAAAATAAAACTTTAAGGTGGCAAAAACATGAGGGCCGGCCCCGTGGCTGAGTGGTTAAGTTCACGGGCTCCGCTTCGGCGGCCCAGGGTTTTGCTGGTTTGGATCCTCGGTGCAGACATGGCACCACTTGTTAGGCCATGTTGAGGTGGCGTCCCGCATGCCACAACTAGATGGACCTACTACTAGAATATACAACTATGTACTGGGGGGATTTGGGGAGAAAAAGAAAAAAGAAAAAAAGAAGACTGGTAACAGTTGTTAGTTGAGGTGCCAATCTTTAAAAAAAAAAAAAAAGTGGCAAAAACACACCTTCAGCAACAAAATGGAAAAATACATTTGCGACATATCTTCTCTTTAATATAAATGGTTAATTTTCTCAATATAAAGAAATTTTACAAATTAGTAAGAAAAATGCCGGGGGCTGGCCCCGTGGCTGAGTGGTTAAGTTCGCGCACTCTGCTTCGGTGGCCTGCTGTTTTGCCCGTTTGGATCCTGGGCGCGGACACGGCGCCGCTCATCAGGCCATGCTGAGGTGGCATCCCACATACTGCAACCAGAAGGACCACAACTAGAATATACAGCTATGTACTGGGGAGCTTCAGGGAGAAGAAGAAAAAAAACGATTGGCAACAGATGTTAGCTCAGGTGCCAATCTAAAAAAAAAAAGAAAAATGCCAACACTCAATATAGGCCAAGAACAAATGTAACTTACTAAAGAATAAAATGTCATTAAATATATGAAAAAATATTCTGCCTCAACAGTAGTAATAATGTACATTAAGATGATACTGATTTTTCACCTATCAGATTGGCTATTATTAACAGTATTCATCGTTACATTGGGATGCTCATGCAGGGTTTTGTAGGAATGTAAACTAGTTCAAGCTTTATGGACAGAAGTTTAAAAATAGGTATCAGAATTGAAAATGTATGCTCTTTGAATAAGAAATGCCACATCTGGTCATTTATCCCAAAAGAATAACTGGGCCAGCAAAAAGTCTGATGTTCAGTGATGCAATGAGATGTAATTGCAAAAATAACCTAGATGTCCACCAATGAGGACTAGTTAAATAATATATCCATATAGCAAAATACTATGAGGACACCAAAAAGGATGATACAGATTTGTTTCTTAGCACAAATAAGTCCATGATACATTAAATTTAAAAAAGGGATGCTGGTCTGGTCCCATTTAAATATAACTACGGAACTAATAATATCACCTTTCTCATAAGGATGTTGTGAGGAGTAAATGAGTTTATCCACATGAAATGCTTAGAATGTGTGACACAGTCAATGCCTAAGAAATGTTGTTATTATCACCATATCTCTTGTGTATAAATGCATAGAAAAAAAAATCTGGAAGGATGTAAACCAAAATGCTGATTATTTCTGAGTAGTGGGATTATTACATTTTTCTCAATAAATTTATGAAAAAAATTATGGTGATTTTATAAAAATAAAGCTATTAAAAATTAAATTTAGAAGATGTTTCTTACCCATGTCAGCTACTTCACCACATACTGAATTCCTGCCCCTATCTGTTCCAAGAGTGACCCCTGGTCAAGATCCTTTTTGTAGGTCTGAAATTCCCTTGACATACCATGTAACATGACTTTTCCTATTACATGGGAAGCTAATGGGATTGCGATTTTTCTTTGACATTCTATAAACTAAGTTTCATACCGACTTTTCTCAAATTTTTTGCAAGGTTCCTGTGAAAAGTCTTTGTCTAAAAATTGTGCTACCTTGCTGATTAATGCTGCTAACAAAAGTCAGATGGACTTGTTGATTAAACCCCATCTCAAACACAGTAATACAGTTATGACTAGTGCCCACTACTGGCAATCATTTCTGGCCCCATGGAGGTTGGAGAAGGAGCCAGAAGCTCTACCCCCATCTGAAGCAGTAGCCTGATAACAGGTAAGAATAAGAATGTTCTAAGTCTGGTTCTTCCAAAATATGAATGGCAGCAACAATATTCACTTTTCCAAGAATTTGTCTCACAAAAACATTTGTGAGACATGCTAAAATTAACATGGCAATATCTGAATATTGCTTTTATTAGAAATAAGGGAGGGGGGCGGCCCAGTGGCACGTTGGTTTAGTTTTCATGTTCTGCTTTGGTGGCCCGGGGTTCGCCGGTTCAGATCCCGGGTGCTGGACATGGCACCATGAGGCAAGCCATGCTGTGGCAGGTGTCCCACATAGAAAGTAGAGGACGATGGGCATGAATGTTAGCTCAGGGCCAGTCTTCTCAGCAAAAAGAGGAGGACTGGCAGCAGATGTTAGCTCAGGGCTAACCTTCCTTGAAAAAAAGAAGGGGGCAGTGATGTAACCCTTTTTGACTAATCTTTGAAGCTTTTGGTATGGGATTTGTGCATCCCTCTTTATCATAAAAGATCTCAAATGAGGCCTCATGTGGAAAAGAAACAATCTGACGGTGAGGAGGAAAGATATACAGGAGATTCAGAACCCTCACAGACTCTGGTATTGATCTCTGGAACTCCCATTTCTGGGAAATTGCTAGAGTCATGGGGGCCTGCATTAAAAGTGTGGGTTGTCACAGATGACATGATCTTGTCTGTAGAAAATCCATGGAAATCTATACTAAAAAACTATCAGAGCTAATGAGTTCTGTAAAGTTGCAGGATATAAGATCAGTGTATAAAAATCAATTGTATTTCTGTACATTTGCAATGAACAATCTAAAAATGAAATTAAGGAAACAATTCCATTTATAATAGCATCAAGAATTATAAAATACTTAGGAAAAAGTTTAAGAAAAGCAGCATAAAATTTATACTATGAAAACTACAAACATTGTTAAAAGAAATTAAGGAAGATTTCAATAAATGGAAAACCAGTCCATGTTCATGGATTGGAAGACTTAATCTTAAGATGGCAATACTCCCCAAATGGATCTATAGATTTGATGCAAACCCTATCAGAATCTCAGCTGACTTTTTGATAGAAACTGATGAGCCAATTCTAAAATTCGTATTGAATTGCAACAGATGATCACAAAAAAAGCAATCCTAAAAAAGAACAAAGCAGAAGAATTCACACACCCTGACTTTAAAATTTATTACACAGCAATGTTAATTAATCAAGACAGGGTAGTACTGGCATGAGGATAGACAGATCAATAAAAGAACAAGAGTCCAGAAACAAAACCATGTCAACTGATTTTCAACAAGGGCACCAAGACTATTTATGGGGAAAGAACAGTTTCTTCAACATGGTGCTGGGACAACTGGATTGTCACATGCAAAAAAATGAAGATTAACTTTTAGCTCACACCATATATAAAAATTAACTCAAATGGGTCAAAGACATACGTAACAACGAAAACTATAAAACCATTAGAAGAAAACATAGGGGTAAATATTCAGGATCTCAGATTCGGCAATGGATTTTTAGATATGATGACAAAATCACAAGCAACAGAAGAAAAAATAGATAAACTAGACTTAATCAAAATTAAAAACTTTTGTGCTTCAAGGGACACCATCAAGACAGTGAAAAGAACCCACAAATGAGAGGAAATAATTGCAAATTATATATCTGGTAGGGACTTGTATCTAGAATATATAAAAACTCAATACAACTCAATAATAAAAAGACAACCCAATTAAATATGGGCAAAGGATCTGAACAGACATTTCTTTAAGGAAGATGTACAAATGGCCAATAAGCATCAGCAGGGAATTGCAAACCAAAACCACAATGAAATAGCACTTAACACCCACTAGGATGGCTATAATGATAAAGTCTGATGAACAGCAAGTATTGGTGAGGATGCAGAGAAACTGGGACTCTCATGTAATACTGATGGAATGTACAGTGGTGCAGCCGCTTTGGAAAACAGTCTGGCAGTTTCTCAAATAATTAAAGACAGAGTTGCCATATCATTCAACAATTCAACTAGGTATATACCCAAAAGAAATGAAAATATATGTCCATACAAAAACTTGTACATGAATATTTATATAATTAATTATAATAACCAAAAGGTAGAAACAACCCAAATGTCCATCAACTGATAAATGGAAAAACAAAATGTGGTAATATCCATATAGTGGAATATTATTCAGCCATAAAAAGGAATGAAGTACTGATGCCTGCTACAATATGTATGAGCCTTGAAAGCATTATGCTAAGTGAAAGAAGCCAGTTAAAAACCATGTATTTTATGATTCCATTCATATGAAATGTTCAGAATAGCCAAATCCATAGAGACATGAGATTAATGGAAGTTGCTTAGGGCTGGGGTGGAGGGGGTCAGGGGAAGCAGGGGCTAAAGTGCACTAGGTCTCACTTTCAGATGATGAAAATGTTTTAAAATTCAGTGGTGATGGTTGCACATATCTGAACACACTAAAAACCACTGAGTTGTACATTTTAAATGGATGAATTGTATGGTATATGAATTATATCTCAATTTTTTAAAAACTAGGTTTCTTCCTGTCTTCCTTTTTTGTGTGATCATCAAGAGACTTCCCTCTTCCAGGGGCAAAGAGAAAAGTTTGGCAGCTCTTTTCTTCTCTGTGCACCCTCCATTATGCAGTCCCTCACTCCATGTCCTGTTGCTTCAGGAAATAGGCAGTAGGAATTGTAGTTGGGAATTTTGCACTCTTTCTGCCCCAGTTTTGTTATTGGTAATGCCAGGGAATTAAAAACACCTGTAGAGGTAGCCAGCATGCAGGTGGAACATTGAAGTGAACCCACCAAAGATCACAGGCACAGACTGCCATAGGTAAAGCAAATTTTGTAGGCATGAGGAACAGTGGTGGAGCAAGGACTCAGACTCCCACCACACTAAAGCAGCCGTCAGGTGGCAATGGAACCAGGCAGACCTCACAAGTCTCCATTCTCATCTTTCAGGTTAAAGCTAATTATTTTAATAACCTTCCTTCCTCTCTCTCTCAATTTAAGGAGGATGTCAGCAATTGTAAAATATTATACCCTGCCTATACTCTCTTACCTCAGTAAAAGGGTTTGTCTCAGGGCAGCTTCCTGAGATGCTCTTCGCGAATAGCAATCTACCATTACACAGCAGGGTGCGGAATGAATTGAGAGGCTTTAAAAAAAGAGTTTTGGTCTTCAGGACCTTTCAGTCTGGCTATCAAAAACATCAAAGTTCTGAAATGCTTTGAAACTATGATAGGAAATTTAAAAAAATAAACGGGGCAAATGAATGTTGTTTCATGGATTGTAGAGAGGAATGATATAATTAAGTAGTAGATAATACTTAGTTTATTGATAAGAACCTAACTTATGAAAGCAGGCCATTTTCTTTGTTAATGGTTGTAAAATGACAAAAATACTTTAAAGCTTGTTCCAGGAAAATTTGCAGTGAGCCAAAAGGGATCCTTAAATGATTTGTTTTAAAAGACATAATATGGTGACAAGCAATCCTCCAAATCTTTCCAAAATGCCTATGAAAAAGTCACTGAAGACCTTCTGAAGCACATGATCCCAAAAGTTTTAAATCTCCTACTTTGTTACAATACAATAAGGCAATTCTTCTTGTGACACCATATCATGGTGGATGCAAGTTTGTTTGGTTGGCTACTCTTAACCTACTTATTTAATAATAGGTAGTTATTAGAAAGCTTTATGGTATAAAAATTAATGATAGTCTATTATAATGGAAAGAACATATTTCTAAAATACATGATTGGTTTACATATCAGATATTTGGCTATGATACTTTGGGTAAGTTGCTGTATTTTTTATACAATATATGGATAACACCACCTTATTCTCATTAGGTTGCTGTAAAGATTAAAAGATAATTTGTGTAAAGTACCTGGAACAGTGCCTGATACATAAAACATACCACATGATAGCTCCTTTGATTAAATAGTATTTGTGATAAAAAGTTGACTATCTGGCCTCTGGTTGGGAATGTAGTCCCTTTACATACCATTGTTTCCATAAGAAAATAACATTTGATATATTTTTATTTATGATATCTTTTTCACACAGACTATGGCCTAAAAAAGTCAGAGTAATTTAAATTTTTCATAAATTTAAATAAAACAAAAACTAAGTTTAGAAAACATGTTTTAAACCTTAATAGCTACTTTATTACCTTTATATCCTTTATTTTCTGCTTTTCAAAATTGTCAATAGTTTCCTCCAGGTGACGAGTTGTTCGGGTAGCATCCATTGTAGCTCTCTGCAATTCGGTTTCTGCCTACAAAAGTATTCCCCAAACAAAGATACAAAAAAATCAAGTCAAAATCCACTCAACTGAGTCTATGTGTAAATGCTACCACTGCAGTACTGGCTTTTTGGCATAACAGTGTAAACTGTTCAATAATGTATTTACCACATGAGATAAAATGATCTATATAATTAGCACATGCAGAATAAAGAACTTTAAATCTACTAAGTGACATGATTCATAATCTCAAATAAAAGAAAACAAAATTTCTTCCCTTTCTTTCTACACAACCATTTTTTCCCTGTATCACCCTTGGATGATTTACTGTAAAACATTTTCTGTATTTTCTACTGCTTTTACCTATTTCGCTGTCTGTGCCACTATCCTTTTACTTCTCACTCTCTCTCCCCTTTAACCCTTTCTCCCCAAAAAAGAAAGAACCTGTGACTTAAGTACTTTCAATTTTCTATTTCTCCAAATGCATTAAATATTTCTAATTCTGTAATATCCCAGGTAGAAAAGAATATACACTAGAAATATTTATTCCAGCATGGGGTTTCTATTTGTATATTCTTATAAGCTAACAATATCATACTGTTACTATTTTGTTAATGCTTATTACAAAAAATATATATATAGTAACTAATAAATTAGCTGGCAAGTCTAATGCTTTGTTTTATATACTCTAATGACAAGTACTCATACTATCTAGATCTGTGTTGTACAGTCAATATGGTGACCGTTAGCCACAGGTGGCTATGTACATTTAAACAAGTTAAAACTAAATGAAAATTTAAAAGCTGGTTCCTCAGTTACTCTAGTTGCATTTCAAGAGCTCAACAGCCATATATAGCTAGTGGCTACAGTTCTATAAAGTGCAGGACATTTCTCGTCTAATGATGCATTTCTCTTAAAAAAGTATCTCATCCAGGGGCCGACCCAGTGGCGCAGCGGTTAAGTGCGCACGTTCCGCTTAAGTGGCCCAGGGTTCGCCGGTTCAGATATGGCACTGCTTGGCAAGCCATGCTGTGGTAGGCATCCCACATATAAAGTAGAGGAAGATGGGCACATATGTTAGCTCAGGGCCAGTCTTCCTCAGCAAAAAGAGGAGGATTGGCAGCAGATGTTAGCTCAGGGCTAATCTCCCTCAAAAAGAAAAAAAGTATCTCATCCTTTAGGACAATAGTTGCCCAAAAATATTTAAAATTTTTTGTTAAACAGTAACATAGAGATTTTAAAAGACGTAGTCCAATTTTCTTATTAAATTCTTTCTAATAAAGTTTCATTTCCTATGCTAGTATTGCATTTACTCAAAAGTATCACACATCATCATTCAATAGTTAATTCATGGGAAAAATCTGCATTTGTCATCAAAGTTTTGTGACATCATATTCTGACATTCAGCCCTGGCTCTCTTTTTCAAGAAAATGTAGAAATTGAAATAAGTAAAAGGGTTTACTATAAGGATCCATCTCTTGACACACCACTTTATTACCCACCTGTGACTGAAATTTTTCATAAAGGAAAAAATACATTTCAAAGAGAACAATTTGTTTCAATAAATTCAAATCATATACTCTTATAGAATTATATACTTTTGCAATTAGATTATACATTAATTACATATTTATATTGTATATACTCTTACAATTAGGTTAATTCAAATATACAATTTCAAGATACTAAGCATTTAAAAATATATTCATTTATACCTGCGTGTATATGTGTGTATATTTGCCATATAGGATGTAAAGTTTTTAAAAAACATACAAACTTTTAATCATAACCAGCAATCAAAACTAATACTCTGTACAGTTATTGGGCTTGGGATTTTTAAAATATAACTTCATCACAGGAAATTCAAAGTAAAATAGAGCTCCTTTAAAGATTTATTAGCATGAAAAAACTTCTCTTATTTGATGCATGTTAACCTTTTACTAATGATAGTATTCAAGCAGACTAATTTCCTAATACTGTCTATTACATGTGACTCACGCAATTCTTTACTTGTTTCTTCTTCCTTTTGACTTTTGTCTTTCCTCTCCCCATTTACTGATAGTTTCATTTTAAACTCTAGAAGGGTAAGTAGCGTTGGCTAAACTAGAAAAGAATGGGGAAGCATAAGCCACAGCTGGGACGTCTGTAACGTAATCTACCATCCTCTGGCAACTACTATCCATTTCTTGAAGTCTGAACTCCTTTTTACTTCAGCACAGCAACTCACCCAAAGTTACACAGCTATTTTTAGCAAAGAGGATACAGATTTCTATATCTTTCTTTTGTTGAAGATTCTTCAAAATCCTATAATGTCCCAATTTGAGTAGGAAATGCTTTTGATTGAAATACTAAGCTATGACTGAATTATCAGTATATTTAATCAAATTAGTCACAAGTGCAAAATGGCTTATAAAAAAGTGAGCCAGATTAGTGTTTTTCAAAATATGTTATAGGAAGCTTGTTCAGAAGCCACCAGGGGCCTTGAGGGCTGAACTGGCAAAGCCCTGGGATGATTCTTTACTCCATCTTCTGGGGCCAGGGCTATTCCATTATATTTTACACATTGAATTTTAATGTGCTTCTTTTGAATAGTCAGCTAAAATTTAAGGGTCTATCCTGGTTAATATTCTATGATGCTATGATTGAATATTTCCATATTTATACTGAATACATTTATATGTAGGGATTGTCTTTTATTTTCTAGTCTCAGGTCATTAAAATCCACTGAAGTCACAGAGCTTTCCCAGTGAGCATAGCAATTCACCGAGAGCAAGAATCTACTCAGTTGTTGCATTTCCCCACATGTGAATCCACAGACCTGCTTCATCTACCATAAGACACCTCCTCCACACCACTGTGTACAGCAGAGCCTCTAAGGCAGACTTAGGAATAGCTTCATTTCTGTGTTGAGTGTCCTTACTAATACTATCTCTGATTCAATCTTGCCAACCACTCAGGAGTCCAGATGTGACATTTTTTTTGCCTTTATACACTCTCCTCCAAACAAAACAACAAAATTTTCAACTCTGGCTTAATTCTTAAAAACTACTGACATTCCCTCACCTCTGCGTTTGTCCCTAGTTGTCAGTCATAACTTCTCCAGCAGTCTCTGGTTTCTCCAACTTGCTTAAAACCTAGACTCTGTAATCTCCAGTTGGTGGATCTTAAGCATCAACTACTGTCTAGCTGTTCCTGTTCCAGCCTCCAATGGGCAATCCCAGCCCTGTGGCTGCCCATTTTTGTTTATTACAAAGTTGGGCGTATGTACCTTTGGTCCAAAGGAAGGAGGACCAGGCAAGTGACGCAGCCCCAAATCACTGCTCAAGGGAATCCCCTCAGGAATGGAGGTGTTCTGGAACCTCAAATGCCCCCAAAGAGCCACTCCTCATGTGGTTTCTGGCTGAGCTGGGCAGTAAAAACCTTAAGGAAGTAGGAAGGAGACATAGGAAGGAATGGGAAAAAGAAGCAGCTGGATAAGTTAGTACTTTGTATACAATTGCACCTATCCCAGAGGCTCGCAATTAGCCAGGCACTATTTTCTCTTCTTTTGTTTAGTAATGAACAAGGCACGTTCTAATTTAAAAAACAGGCATTCTTAACAGAAGAACCTTGTTACAGTAGACACTGCCATATAGATCCTTTGTGTCCAGCTGTGGACCTCAATTATACTCTTCAATCTCCTGAGGGTCTTTGGCTGGAAGTCATATTGTGAGTTTCATGGTGTTTTTTTTTTCTTTTAAAGATGAAGGGAATTATACTGGGGAAAAAATGATTTTTCCTTCCTTTTCTCAAAAGCAGGGCAGAAAGGACATTGATACATTAGAATTAATAACAGACCTTTAAGTTAATTTTATAATTAATAGTCATCATGTGAAAAAAAATCTCAGAATTTTAGAATTTACTTTGTATAAAAACATCTACATTTATAAGTGTTTTATTTTTTGTATATCAATTGTGGAAAACAATAAAGGAGATTGAATTAGGTGGTGTATTCTCTTTAAAATTGGCTAATTTTTATAGTGAGAATTCATAAATGCATGCATTTCTTTTCAATCTTTATATTCAAATTCTGTACACATTTAAAAGTATAAATGCATAATTTCCATATATATATTTCATATTTCATACCTTACAAAACGTCTTTTTAAAGACCAAAATTCAAAGGATACAATAACATGTCGGTCAGATGGGTTTCGCTGACGTGTTCTTTCTAACTGAGTTAACTGTTTAGCTTCTCGATTCCTTGCTGTTAATGTTGCTTTGAGGTCATCCTGCAAATAAGCATTTTTTTGCTAATAAAAATCTGATTTAAGAAATAAAATACACACACACTGTTTTAAGAATGAGAGAACACTCCTTGTTTGATTCAGGCATTACCACAGCAATACTACTGCATAATTAGTGTGTGTCTTTGTGTGTGAGTGTGTGCACACGAGTGTTTAATATCGTCTCAAAATAATGACACAATTTCAACGCAAAACTATAACCATATATATGCGTATATATATATATATATATATATATCTCTCTCTCTCACCACACACAAAATATCTTGATTGTGGTGGTAGTTACATGTGCATACACATTTGTCAAAACTCAATGAACACTTAAAATGAGAGGATTTTAGTGCATATAAATTATACCTCAATAAAGCTGATTTAAAAAATAGAACTTTAGGGATGTAATGTATAGCATGGTGACTATAGTTAATAATATTGTGTTGCATATTTGGAAGTTGCTAAGAGAATAGATCTTTAAACGCCTCATCACAAGAAAAAAAAAATTTCTAACTGTATGGTGACAGATGTGAATTAGACTTATTGTGGTGATCACTGGACAATATATACAAATATCAGATCAATATGCTATACACTTAAAACTAATATATGTCAATTATACCTCAATTGAAAAAAATAGAATTTTGTCATACTTATTTTTAGTCATGTTATTGTCTGCTTTCAAACAAAAATACAAACTTATATTCATTTAGTAAAATGATTTCTGTCCATATATTCTTCATGACTATAAATATGACATATTTTAATGTTCCCATAATAAACAAAATAATGCTTTATGTTGCTATAGTAGTTTACTTAGTAAGCTCAATAAAAAATTTCATTCTCAAAGTTCTAAGAAATAATGCTTCAGAGTGTGTAAAAAGAATGAATAAACATTAATTTGTACTTTTTATTAAAAAGACAATTATCGGAAACCTCATACTCTTTGCCAGAATACCTAATAATAGAAGAAACAAATGAATTTACTTACTCGTTTCATTTTTACAATGGTTCCATAAGCTTTCAAAGGTTCAACTACTTTGGCTTCAAGTCGTTCAACCTATTGAAAATTATTATAAAATGTAACTGAAAAGCAACACATACATATCAAAATTTAAATTCTGAAATAAATCCTGTGCTGTTTAACTTGAACATAATTACTACACAGATTAATATTTTAAAATTTTTAGATTAAAATGTCACAGTTATCTTTATAAATAAAAGAATCATGAGAAATTGATAAGACAGAATCTAAACTCAAACACATTAAAAACTGTTACGCTATACAGTAACAATAAAAGCAGAAAAGCAGCTGGTGTGCAATATGACAAGAAAATGTCTCGGGTTTCCAAGGAGCTCATCCTTGCCACACCATCATCTCTGTATTACTTTTCTATCTTAAAGTAGTAGTTTTGGGGTAAGTTTTAAGACATCTCAAATTTTAATACAGCTTCCACTTTCAGTGTGTTTAGCACAGTGTTGGATACTTTACATACTTTATCTCCGAAATACAATATAGCCCAAGTTTCCAAATAAAAAAATCAAAGCTGAAAGAAATAGCTCATTGGAAACATTTAAAGCAACATAACCCTCAAAGGCAAAAAAGCTTAGAGACCACTGTATTAAGTGCAATTTTTTTCTGAGAAGCCATTTGTAGATTAGAAAAGCTTAGAGAACAAGATAAATGGTCTCAGGCTTGCTGAGTTGTCAAACAGTATGGTTGATCTTTCTTTTATTTAGAATTAAACAGTTTTTCTTAAACACTACAATTTTTATCATCACATTTTGAGTAATTCTTCTTTTACTAATAGCACTACTGAAAAGCACTGAAGAAAAGGATTTGCTTTAAAGGCAAGTATATAAATATAGCACACAAAAAATAAGACTTCGACAGTAAAATTTTCTTTTTCAGGATAGGTAATACAAGGTGACACATATTTAAGTGTTTAAAATGAACATATATTACTTTTGTAGAAGGAAAAAGGCTTTTTTTGATGATACATGTTTATATAATCAGTGAGTACATTGCATATTGATTTTTCTTTAGTTTCTGTCAACAAAGTGCATATGAATGTTTCATTTTAAAAGATTTTAGGAAAATGAAGAAAATCAATTTCTCATTGAGCATTTAAATATTAGGAATCCTAAAATCAAAACCATGAATATTCAGGATAGTTTACTCTATACCATTTTGAATAATCCACACACTGACTATGCAGTGTGAGATCATCCACGTCTTTTTTCTGTTCTCCTTTTGGTCGCCCACCTTTTGCTAATTGTTCATTAGCACCTCCACTGTTTGGTAAGCAAGGGAAACAAAGAGGAGAACAAGTGTACATGAATTCACTTTGCTATTTGATAATAGCATAAAAGTTTCCTAGAAAGGGACATTGAAATTAGTGGCTAACACAGGATTTTAGGATTATCTGTGAGTATAAATTTTTGAAATAGTAAATCCCCAGTTATGTATAACTGAGAGTTGCTTATTACAGAAAAAACATCATATGACAAGAACCCAACATTTTCCCAAAAAGTACCTCTAAATATAATTACTACTCAAATTTCTGTATGAATAGCTGTAATAGGTTGGAAGATCATTATCCTCATTTTGTTTTTGTGGGGTTTTTAAATCAAATTTCTGTTTCAGGCTTTAAAAAAGGATCAAAAGCACTGATGAGAAAAGCAGCAATGCAGCTCTAACTGGACAACTTCTTACAAATTAACTTGTCTCTTGACATCTAATGTAAATATAAACGAAGTATTTATAAGGTATTAAAGGAAAAAATGGACTTTTAGAAAGAAAACAATTACAAGACCACCTTCTTCCCTCGCCGGCAAAGCAAAAAAACTCCAAAAGTTTCACTGCTGGTTTGAATCGATGATATAAACCAGTTCCTTTTTTTTTCTTCAATGAACATTGGTCAACTTTCCAGAGCAGGGAAGCAGCAAGGATCTCTTGTCCATTTATTACTTATTCACTCACATTACTATTCCCAACATCTTCCATCTCCACACATACTTTAAAATATACTTACAAGACACAAGTCATGCTCCTTTTCTTCCCCATGGGTATACTATGTTTACGCCCCCTGTAAATACTCACCCCTTGGCCAAAAGTTGGCAAAGGACGTGGAGAAATTCAGGACTTCAAGACACCCTAAAGTTTAGTTTGAAAACGGTAACATCACGGGAAGCTTCCCTTTAATAACTCTCTCAGTGTTACAGATTTGAAAATGTACGTTTATCATCAAGTGTGTGTTCGCCACTGCAGTTAGGTAGATTACAAGTGCAAGTCTTCAGGGTTCCCTCATCCACTACTTCAGGGCTCATTCACAACAATGACGCTGTGACCTCACTCCATACCTCTGCTTGTCGATAATCCTGAAGTTTGGCAAACTCATCAGCAAAGTTTTTCAGGCCCTGCTTTAAATTTGGGGTCTCCGTAGAGGCATACACGTTGATTTCATTCACCAGGAGGTCTGCTTTGTCTCGCAGTCTGGCAGTTTTCCGTACATAAGCAGCAAAGATTTGGCACAGCTCCCCAAAATGCTTCTCCACATTTGTCACAGCATCTTGCAGTTGTCTGGTTTGAGCGTCTCTAGAGAAAAAGGTGACACAAAACGCAAATCATTCTCATTAGAGAGGAGATGGCTTCCGTCTTCACGTTAATTTGATACGCAAACATTCCTGGGGCATTTCGCAGCTTCTGAGGCGCAAACCATCAACAATCCCACCATTTCCCGAGGCGAATACCCCTCCTCTAGCCTGGCCTCAATATCCCCACCGTGTAGGCGCACTAAGGGGCCCGGCTCCGGCTGGCCGCGCCGCTGCGAGGCGGTGGCTGCGAGGGCCGCTCCGCGCTGCGCGGCCTGGGCGCCCGGCTGCCCCCCAGGCATCTGCACCGCCCGCGGCCGTGCGGGGACCCGAGCCCGGCAGAGCGGGTGGGTGGAGCCGGCCCGGCCGCGGGCGGCCCCGGGGGCTTGCTGCAGCCCAGGGAGGTAGGCCCCAGATCGCAGCGGGGACGGTCCAGCCCTCGGCCCAGCGTCACGATTCGGCGCGGAAGCCCCACGGAGAAAGGCTCCACTTCTCCCACCCAAGCCCTCTCGTGTGGCGGGCCCTGAGCAGCTGGTGCCCGGAGCTGTTACCGGTTTTCCAAGACGCGCCTCAACATCTTGCCTCGCGCACGGCCAGGGCCCCCGGGCTGGGGCCCAACAACCGAAGCTCCTAGGCGCCCGGGCGTGCGCCAGGGCGCTAGCCGCCGCCGCCGCCGGGAGCCCAAGAGCCCGCCCCGCGCGCCGCCGCGCCGACCCCGGCGTTTCTATGGCAACCCCGCGCGCCCCCGCGGTCAGAGCCGGCGGCGGCGGGAGCGCGGCGGGGGGCTGGGGAGAGCGCGGGCGTGGGTGGGGGGGGAGCCGAGCGCGGGCGGGGGCGGCGAGCGCGGCGGGCGGGCGCGAGCGCGGCGGGGGAGAGCGCGGGCGTGGGGGCGGGCGCGAGCGCGGGCGGGGGCGGGGCGGCCGAGCGCGGGCGGGGGCGGGCGCGAGCGCGGGCGGGGGAGAGCGCGGGCGTGGGGGGAGCGCGGCGGGCGCGGCAGCGCTGGCGGGGGACCGGCGCGTTCGCCCGCGCGGTCCTGCCCCCCTGGCGTGTGTGGAACGTGGCGGAAGCCGGTGGCCGCTGCTGGGCCTTCCCTCCTCCTGCAGCGCTGCCTTCCCAGCGCCCGTCCCCGGCCCTTTTCGGGCCGGACTGCGAGCAAATGAGGAAAAGAGCCAAACGGTAACCAGGCGGGAAACGTAAAACCACCCCCCAGTGGGGGCTGCTCCGCTTAGGCGACATCGAGTCTTAGGACATGTGCTCAGTTTGTCCGCCTGTCTGTGAGGAATCTGAAAATGTGGTGTCTTGGAAGCTGCCTTTGGAAAGAACAGTGCTTACCGCCTCATCTTTAACTTTTCATTTATTCAGCAAATGTTTTTGAGTTCCTGTTTTGTGGAAAAGCTTGTGTTAGACGCTGGGAATAATGCAAGGGTAAGAAGAAGAGGCCTCTATCCTGAAGGGCCCTAGAGTTTGCTGGGGAGACAGACATTTAAACTGCAACAAAACCCTGAGATAAACAGGAGACTGTTGCCCTTGAACACCCATTCCTTTCCGCCCTCTTGGTCCTCGGCTGTGTGACTCTTCTGAGTAAACTCCCCTGGGGCTAAATTCAAGATTTATCGCTCTTCAGAAGCCTCCCTTGACAACTCCCACCTTTCACTCTTGCAGACCGCGTTAGAGCCCCCTCCCTCTCTAGTATATTCTGTTGGATTTGTACTGTCTCCTGTAGTCTAGACTGAGCTCTTGGAGGCGGAGGAAATGTAATTTTGGTCTTGTGGTCATAAAAGTTCGTTTTGGACAAATGGATGTCCCCAGTCCTTTGTTACTTTTCCTTTTTTTTTTTAGAAAGGTTAGCCCTAGCACCAATCCTCCTTTTTTTTTTTTTTTTTTTTTGCTGAGAAAGATTGGCCCTGAGCTAACATCGTGTCCATCTTCCTCTACTTTATATGTGGGATGCCTGCCTCAGCATGGCTTGCCAAGCCATGCCTAGGTCGGCACCCAGAATCTGAACGGTTGAACCCCAGGTGGCCTAAGCAGCGGTGAGAACTTAATGGCTGGGCCAAGCTGGCCCAACAAGCTGGCCCTGCTTTGTTACTTTTCTTATAGAAGTCCTCTTACTCTCTCGTGTTACAATGTATACCCCTCTTCTCCTCTTGCCTTCATTCAGCAGGTTATCTTTTATATGCCTGGTTAATTCCAGATATTATGCTGGGCTCTGAGCGTGGAGTGGTAGCCTAAAATCAGAATAGTCTTTCCTCTTACAGAGCTCACAGTCTGATCGAAGGGATAGACACCAAACAAATACATGTGAAATTGCAGCTGAGATATGTGCTACTGTATCAGCTTTTGCTGTGTAACAAAACACCATGAAACCTAGTGGCTTACAACAATCCTTTAGCTAACTCTGGATTCTGTGAGTGGACTGACTGGTTCTTCTACTTTGGGTCTGCTTGATTGGTCTCTCTCATGCTTTTCTGGTCAGCAGGCAGGTCTGCTGGTGGCTGGAGGAGCTACAATGGCCTCACTCACAAGTCTAATGATGGGAAGGCTGTCAGCAGGGGCAACAGAGGCAACATGTTAGTGGCCACTTTTGCAATTTAACTCAGGTACTAAGAAAAGTACATGGCACCAAGAGAGCATGTACGTAATACACAATTTTCATTTGAACTAGTTGGGGAAAGAAATTGATTGAGACAGTAACATTTGAGCTGAGATCCAAAGATTGGAAAGGGGTTAACTAGGTGAAGAGGGAGGGAAAAACAGTCCAGAGAGAGGGATAGTGTAGGCAAATTGTCCCCCCGCCCCATTCCCACCTCTACCTAACTTCCATGTCTCAGAAAATGGTACCACCCCCCAGCTGATTGTTTAAGTCAAAAACCTAGGAGTCATTCTTTCTTTTCCCCAGGCACACTGGCAATTTCCATCTGTTCCACCTCCAAAGCATATCCTGCCTCGTTCCTTCTTCATTTTTTCTACATCAGCATAATCCAAGCTACTATCATCACTCACCTTGACTGCAAATCTTTCTCACTGTTCTCTTCACAGCCACAGTTACACATTGCAATGCAAAATCAAAAATGTAGATCAGATTATGCCAACCTTTCAAAGCCTCTGCTAAATGACCTGAATGTTTGTGTCTCCCCAAAATTCATAAGTTTAAATCCTAACTCCTAAGGTGATGGTATTAGGAGATGCGGCCTTTGTGAGGTGCTTAGGTCTTGAGGGTGGAGCCCTCATGAATGGGATTAGTGCTCTTACGAAAGAGACCCCAGAGAGCTCCCTAGTGCCTTCTGCATGTTACACTGAGAAGATGTCTGTCAATGAGACAGAGGCTCTCACCAGGCACTGAATCCGCCAGTGCCATGATCGTGGACTTCCCAGCTTCTAGAACTGTGAGAAATAAATTTCTGTTTTTTCTAAGCTACTCAGTTTATGGTATTTTTTGTTATAGCAGCTCAAATGGACTAAGGCAGACTCACAGTGTGCTTAAAATAAAATTTTGAATCCTTACTCTGCCTCTTAAGGCTGTATCTCATTCTTGCCTATCCATCTACCTTCTCTCACTGCCCCACTGTGCTATAGCTACAATATCTTTCTTTCTGTTTGTAGCATATTTCAAGCCCATTTCAGAGTCAGTTTTGTGTTTGTTATTTTCTCTGCCTAGAACATTCGTTACTCAGATCTTCACATGGTTGGCCCCTTCTTATCATATAGCATTCTGCTTAAAACGCACCCACAGAGTGAGGCTTTCTCTGATCACCTAGTTATTATCATATTACCCTGTTTTGTTTCCTTTGAAGCAAATGTCATTCTCTAAAATGAACTTGTTTGTTTATATGCTATTTCTGTCTCTCGTGAGTAGAATGTATTCTCCATGAAACTAGTCTATCTTGTTCACATTATATTCCCCATACCACCACAGTTTTTGACTCATAGTAGGAATTCAAGAATTAGTTGAATTTATCAATGAATAGGTGAGTGAGTGAAAACCCCACGACATGGAGCATGGTGTATGTGAGGAAATGGTAGAAAACCAATGAGGCTAGAGTGGAGGAGGTTGTTACCTGATGTGTGATATAGTTGGAGGGGTAGGTATGGGCCAGGTCAGAAGGACATTTTGGCCATGCTAAGGAGTTTGGTCCTTGTATTATTCAGGATTATCCAGAGAAACAGAGCCAATAGAAAGAAAAAAATAGGGGCCGGTCCAGTGGTGCAGGGGTTAAGTTCACACGTTCCGCTTCTCGGCGGCCTGGGGTTCACCGGTTTAGATTCCAGGTGCAGGTATGGCACTGCTTGACAAAAGCCATGCTGTGCTAAGTGTCCCACGTATAAAGTAGAGGAAGGTGGGCATGGATGTTAGAACAGGGCCAGTCTTCCTCAGCAAAAAGAGGAGGATTGGCAGTAGTTAGCTCAGGGCTAATCTTCCTCAAAAAAAAAAACAAAATGTATATATGGTTTTATCATAAAGAATTGGCTCATGTGATTATGGAGGCTTAGTCCCAAGGTATGCAGTCAGCAAGGTGGAGACCCAGGAGACCTGATAGTATAAATTCCAATCTGAAAGCTGTCAAGCTTAAGACCCAAGAAAGGCTAATGTTTCTGGCTGAGTCTGAAGGCTGGAAAAAGCCAATATCCCAGATTAAGCAGTCAGGTAGGAGGTGTTCTCTCTTCTTCGACCTTTTTGTTCCAGTCAGGTCTTAAATTGACTGGATGGTTGCCCACCCGCATTAGGGAGGGCAATCTGATTTACCAAGTCAAATGTTAATCTCATCCAGAAACACCCTCACAAACACACCCAGAATAATGTTTGGCCAAATGTCTGGGCATGCTGTGGTCAAATCAAGTTGACAAAAACTAACCAACACAGTCCTTGTCTTCATATTGATGTCTTACAGCGAGGACTATCTTAGTTATCATGTAACTCGTAAATATTTTAGCAAGTGTGTCATGTCTAGTATAGTAATTGTTGAACAAATGTATATTGAATTGCACTCTTTCAGTCTCCACTCAATATACGGAATGAATAGGTTCTAGGAACCCTTCTCCTGAGATCTGGGCTCTTTGTCTCCTGTCAACAGACATTTCAAAACATGTATCAGCACAATTGTTCTCAAGTCTTTTCTCTGCTTAGAGGCACTTTTCTTTCTTAAAGGCAACGCTTTCTCATAGGACACATCATCTCACAGAGGGGCTGGGTGCCTGGGGAGGCCTCGTGCCCTTGGCCAAGGTCACTTGATGAGATATTAGGAGAGCTGGAATTAAATCCTTTGTCTTCCCTCTCCAGTGCTCTTTCCCCTATACCAGAACGTATCTATCTTTCTTTTTCTCTCTCATTATGATCTTTTTTTGCAAAGTTCTTAAACAAATGTAAACATAAGTAAATTACTTTAGGTTCAATGAATGCCATTCCATATGTGGAATAAGGAGAGGGTGTGTCAATGATCAATCATTGGGTGCCACGTTCCAAAGTTTCTGGAAATTATCGTTCCAGGTTATAAGCATTATAACATGACTTTGCAGGACTTTTCTTAAGCTAGTACTGACTTTTCTTAAACCATTATATGTTATTTGTATTTATATTGTGAAAACAGCACAATCTTATTTTGTATAATATTGAATGAATTTCAATTTATTTAGGATAGTTTAAGAAAGGTCCGGTGGAGACAAAGAGTTAGATTAACTTCACTCATTTATTCAGCACTACTTACTGAGAGCTTGTCA